AAAGCAATCTCAGACGTTGAAATTGCAGAACAAAATTTTTATTTAAACTGTTTATTAAGAAATTTTTTTTTATTAAGATTGAAGTAAATATTTGTACAAATTTTGCGCGTCTCTATAATTGAAATATATTTACAAAATACATTTCTAAGTATTTTCTTTTATATATATACATTCATGCATACTCCTGCAATAATTAATTCAAGTGCATAGTAAAATGTGATAAGAATAAATAGCAACGGTGCGATTAATTTCAATTGCAAATTACTTTTATATTCAAGTGTTGTCTGTTGTGTTTTATTTCTCGCTGTTTAAATTTTTATTTGTTGCATTGTTATATTGTTGTTGAGTTTTTGCAGTCACAAAGTAATGTATTACTAAAAAAATAAAAAAAAATATATAAAATAAAACAAAAAATTATTATATAAAACCGAAATTTACATTTTTTATTTTTTTATATTATATATATAATATATACATACATACATACGAGTATATGTTTTTTGCTTAAATTAACTGAATTTAGTTAGTTGCTATGGCGTGAGTAAAATCCCCATACAATTAACGTGAAATACCGAAACACCGTTAAAATGAGTGGTTTCTAACTGTGCGCTGATGATATCTCTAATCATTGCCGAATTTAATTAGTAATTTAAAAGCACTTGAGAGCTTTCAAACACTTCGGGCGGAAGATAAGTAATGACTTTGGAGAGAAATTAAATTTCAAAAACAAATTTTTTTCGATTTTTTCCTTAGAATGGCAAACTGATTTCAATAAAAGCGGTGTTCGCTAAAAGTTAAACTGAAAAAATAGATAAATTTATAGAAACAGAATTGTATATTTTTTTCTTCTTTCTTTATATTCCTTAGACTACCGCATGCCAACGGTAAATGGTTTAATGAACTTTCGAAATTATTTTATTTAATTATGTCACAATTTGTGTGCTATCTTATCAGAAACCGCTCTTGTAAACGCTTTTGAATGACGTAAAATTGTGCCACCTCATCGAAATTAAATTTAACATTCAACAATGACGTATTTAAGTCCACACAACGCTGTCATATACAAAATATTTAAATTAATAAATTTAATTTTTTGAGTGTAAAAAATTCTTTATCAGTATTTCATTATTAATTTATTTTTTTATAGCAAAACAAGAACAAGAAGTACTCTCGCTATTTGTACAATCTAAATATTTTATTAAACTCTGTAAAGCTTTTTTTATTATGTCAAACATACATATATGTACATAACAAACAGCTGTCAAACTGTATGTAATGTATCGGTTGTTTGTGCAACTTTTATAAAATACAATAAAATCAACCTGTTGACATACATATATAAATTGCATGCTTATTATTAAATTTCAGTTCAAAGCATTTTATGCCAGGAAGAAGTACAACAAAGAGTTCAATGAAATTTTTTACTTGCAATAAATAAATATATTTTAAGTAAACCTACAATTGTGAAAATGTGTATGGCGAAGAAAAAAGTGAATATTGTATGGCACCAAAATGCGTTCATTTTACTGTAAAGAGTTGGCCCAATTTATTTTTTTTATTCACTAAAAGAACTATAATAAGTACAGTTGAAAAATACTTGAAAAATACTACAAAACTGAGCAACAGCTGGCTTGCTATTAAACCTAAAATTTTCACTAAAATTGAGTACAATGTTTTAAGCTTTATAGTATTAGCTATAAAAAGTGAATGTCGTTTCAACAATAGTTTTCTATTCACGCGATGTAATTAAATATTAAAAACAATTACTACATATTCAATGCCGTTATACTTACGTAAATGTCATCAATGAAAAAGTGTAAGAAAAAACTATAAGCATTAACGATTTTATTTTTAAATTCCGAAGCAATTATTAGAAAAATTACAAAAAATTTACTCCTTTTTTGTATTTGCTGAAAACCTTAAAAATATCAATAAAAGAAGCTGTTGTAGCGTATGCATTGCTTTTTTCCTAAGTGTTTTCTTAAATCGAGTTAAAATACATAAAAAGCACATAAAGGATGTCCCAAAACTAAGGCAAGATTAGAAATAAATAGAAAACACAGTTTTTAGTTTTTCGATTTTTTTATTGAATCATAAACAACATAGAATTGGTTTATTTATAGAGTAGCACATTGGACAAATGACCTCCACGGCTTTCCATATAAATACGCACTCATATGTCGAATTTTTCATTTTTGTAGCCCCATAAAAAGAAATCTAGAAATCTGGTGTTAAATCACACTATTTAGGGGCCAATTCTAATCACGAAAAAGGAGAGAGTACACGATCTGAATATGTCTCATGCAGTCATTGAAGTGCTTCACGGGCTGTCTGACATGTGACAACGTCAAATTTCAAATTCCAAAAGGAACTGGGTTATCATGGACAGTAACAGTTACTGCCTGACCAGCGGAGTACAATCCAATTATGTCTGCAGCTCAGAATCCACTTCAAACAGTGACTCATTGTGAACGCATTTGTTTTTCGACAAACACAAGTGGATTCTCAGAACCTCAAAAGCAACAATTTTGGCGATTAACAAACCCATCATGGTGATTCATTGCTTATGATGACTTTGCTTGAAAAGTCAGCATCCATTTGTTGATGCTCATTAATCCATAAAGCAAACTCTCTTCCCTGTAAACGGTCATTCGGCTTCAGTTGTTGTGTTAATTGATTTTTTCAGGCAAGTAGAGTCAAATCTTTAGTGAGTATACGCTGGAGAGAGCTTCTTGAAATTTGCATTTTTTGTCCACGACGTCGAATTGAAGTTCCTGGATAGTCACCCGACACTCTCACGCACTGTTTCGATATTATCATTTGAACGACTTATTTCTCTGTTATTTTTAATTTTTTTGGTTTTACATAATTTAATTTTATTTTTATTTTATTTTAATTTTATTTTATTTTATTTTATTCCTTTTTTAATTTTAATTTATTTTTCTTTTATTTTTTATTTCATTTTTATTTTATTTTATTTAATATTATTATTTTTTGTTTTATTTCATTCCTTTCTTTATTTTATTAATATTTTATTATATATTGTTTTATTTTTACTTTCCTTTTTTAATATTACTGTGTTTATTTGCATAGTGCAAAATATATTATATGGGTAGAACTTCCCACCCACAGTTTCCCAAATAGTTTTCAACTGGCCTTGCAAAATCTGGACGAGCGTTGTCATGATGAAAAATTATTGATTCGTGTCTGGTCGCATATTCTGGTCGTTTTTCCGTTGATCGTCTGACCCGATTTCAATGGCTCATAATAGAGCACACCCTTGTACATAGCATAACCTTGGCGTGGAAGCAACATTTCCGACATGCAAAATCGACGTTCGACGTCTCTTGGCTTAAATTCATAAGACACCCAATTTCCAAGCTTCTGGATCAACTCCTAATACTTTTGCAAGTTCTTCTTGGGTCTGGCATGCATCTGCGTCGAGCAGTGTTTCCAGTTCTTCGTCTTTTTTTGGCTGTCTGTGGTTTAAGTCGAAATGCCATTTTTAAACCGTGCAAACCACTTTTGTCACGTTCGATCGGCATGGTCACCATAAACGTCCAATAAAATACGATGGCTATCAGTAGCACTTTTCTTCATGTTAAAGTAATTAAGAAGAACTCCCCGCAGAAACACTTTATCCGGTACAAATTTCGACGTTTTCAAACTAATGAAACAAATTGTTGTTCACCCTAAAACAAATGACATCTACTGAAAACGACGCAAAATGATAGTCCCTTTGAAATGATTATAGCCACAGATGAACACGACGCGAAATTATACTATTGTAGTAGAGCCGTCTCTTAGAAAATCGCACGTATTAATGCATGCACCCAATATATAAATGTTTTGCTTTTAAGTAAAATTATAATTACAGTTTTTGTTTTCCTTATTTAATTTCATTTCTTATTAATACTTTTATTTATTATTTTCATTAATTTTCCAGTAATTTTATCGTATTTTACTTTTTTATATATTTTTGTTTTGATTTTGTTTAATTTTACATTTGATGTATTTGATTTCATTTATTTTATTTTTGTTTAGCTAATGAATTCTATTCATTTCTTTATTTATTTTATATAATTGTGTTATTTCAAACAAATTTGCTTAAAACTACTTGGCAAAAATATGTTTCTATGATGTAGGTTTTGCTTTATAAAATAATATAAATTGCTTTCTTGATTGTGTTGGTGCATACACGTACATACATACATATGTAAAGCAAATTTTTAGAACCATAATCGAAAATGAGGGAAAAGACATCACTTGCATATTAATTTTTTTTTTAGTCTAATAGGGAAAATAGCTTTGGATGTACTTACATAGGTAATATATATGAACGTATCATACACATACAAATACATCTGTGAATAAATCGAAGGCGTATATCTGTAAAAGTCCACTTCAACAATTTGTTGTAAACATTTTTCATTACGCTTGAGTGGGAAACTTAATTAAAACGGTCAGTTGTGCATACTTGTATATATGTACATATATATATGTACATATGTATATGCTTTTATTAAGGTAAATATTTTATTGCACCATTTTTTTTTATACCAAAGATGAAGTTTAAATTTTAAATTCTTTTATTATAGAATCTTAATCTAAGAGAAATCGAATGCCTGCTAAAATTTAACTTCTGCTTAAATCCTTTTTTAAAATGTGGCTGTTAAGTTCAACAGACGATCAAAGCGCTGGTTAACAATTCATTTTTTCGACAGCGACATCTGTTCTGTTTACAAACATAAAACCGCTGATTTACAAATTTACTTAGTTCCTTTTACCATAATATATAAATATAATGGAAAATAAACGGGTATTTATATTCATGAGCTCAATTACAACCCGAACTATACATATATTATATAAGACACTGAATTTTTAAGTTTTTTGTGCGTTAATTTCAGTTTATTTTTAAACGAAACATACACACATATATATATATATATTGCACAAAAGTTTTTTGACATTTATTACCTTTTTGTTTACTTTTTCAGCTATGCAGTTCCATTGGAAGCGATTTTTTACAGTAAAACAAATCAAAAAGCTCCTCGCACCCATTTACATGCCGCCAAATGTACGCAATATTTAGTGTTAAAAAGCGTCAACTTTGTACGAGTAAAACAACAATAAATGCAAAGAAAAAAAGCATGCTGAAGTAGTATTTCATAAATAAAATATTAGCGATAAAAATAAAAAATAATAATAATTGTGATAATTCTGAAACCTAAAAGTGAGAGAAAATGACAGTAACGTACACAGCGGAGGTAGCAACCTGTCGAGGCTTTGGCTGCTTTCTGAAATTGCTGCGAAGGTGAGTAACTAAAGTGAAATTTACATATCTACATATGAGTGTATATGCACATTGATATTTATGTGTTTGTCTTTTGAAATGTTTATCGTCAAGCTGTTAATTATCACGCCTGTATAAGAGATAATTGTTAAGATAATTAACGCAACTAATGAAACTATATACACACATACATATGTACATATACGAGTATATGTATTTTAGTCTGATGTTCTCGTGATGGGTCAAGATCAGCTGATTCATAAATGCCTTTACTCACATATATACGGTCTCCAAATTATTATATCATATATTTTTAGTTTTACAGCAGTCAATGAAATATACATAAATGTTTACAAATGTACAGAGTATGTAGTACGCATGTAATACTTGAAAGCATATAATTGACAGCGCAGATAATTATTATATGTTATTGCATAATAAATAAACAGTCACGTTGTGTTTTGATTAGTTGCCACTCATTATGGGTAATATACTCGCATATCCACTTCACCTACATACTTACGCACTAAAGATAGTCAGCCAGTGCTTTCGCTGTTTCATTAGATCTTATGGAAATTTATGAGTAGCCACTTCTCCATCCATCCGATAAGATTAATAAGATATTCATTTGTGATAATTATACTTTGTGACTATGCAATTGAGGTTAATCTCCTGTGAAAAGAATGTGCTAATTAAATTCGTTGTATGTGCCAATTGTTTGATTAAACTGTTTTTCACTCTTGGCTGAATTTATAAGAACATAAGGATTGTTCTCTGAAGCTAACAAAGCCATCACCATTATATTGGTCAAGTAAAAAGTTCGTTCAGTTTTTATTGATTTTTCAAAATATGATAACTTTGTGTACGAGTACATTTGTCCGATTTGAGTCTGATATGCGCCGTTTTGTTCGTAAACTTGTTGCCAATGAGATGCCCCTATCGTAGAAGGATGCGTCCCCGTTGGCAAAAGACTCGGAGAGCCAATTTTCAAATGCCTCTCTTGAGGCCAACTTCTCACCATTAAGCGCTTTCGCTATGGACTGGAAAAGATGGTAATCGCTTGGTGTCAGGAGCGGACGATAAGGTGGGTGCGTTAGGACCTCCCATCTGAGATCCTGGAGCTTCTTGCGTTTCACTAAAGACGTGTGTGGTCTGGCGTTGTCCTAATGGAACACAAACGGCCTCTGTTGATCAAAGATGGCCTCTTCTGGATGAGTGCTGCCTTGAAGAGACCCATTTGTTGACAGTAGAGGACCGAGCTGAGCGTTTGACCATAGAGGAGCAGCTCGTAGTAGATGATTCTTTGCCAATCCCACCAAACGCACAGCAAAACCTTCCTGGCCGTCAATCCGGTCTTGGCCATCGTCAGGGCCGTTTGCGATGTTGTCGCAAGTGACCCATTTTTCATCGCCAGTCATAATCCGCTTCAGGAACGGGTCGGTTTTGTTGCGAGTCAGCGGCGATTCGCAGATGGAATTCGGTTCTTCATATTTTTTGCGTTAGTTCGTGTGGCCCCCAAACATCGAGCTTCTTTTTGAATCCAAGGTTATGCAAATGGTACCAAACGGTACTATGGACAATAACGCCACATCTTAGATAAAAACCGAACGAACTTTTTACTTGACCAATATTTTTACAAACAAGGGTTGCCATGCGAAAAGAAAGACGGAAAGAAATATGTTCGGCTGTCGCAACCAGTTGTGCGTGATATATAGAGGACACAGTAGTCTAATTATTATTAATTTGCCCTCAGAGATACTGGGATCATCATTACCAGAAATATATGTATCAGAAAGAAGCTTCGATGCTGCGATATCTTTTAAAAATTCAGAATAAATCAAAAAATAAAATATGTTCAAACAAAAAAACGAGAATATGAGGTTTGTCCAAAAAATAACGCGATTTTTAAATTTTGCCAGCTTAGGATTCCGATTGTTTTTATTGTTTATTATGTTTTATTATTGAATGTTGGTAAACCAAGGTAACCAAGAAAGCCGAGTGGTTGGCAGTACGTGCTACCATTCCTAGTCTGTCAAGCATCCATAATTGCAGAAAGTTAATTTGTATACCTTTCATGCAAATGAAATTGTAAATTAACCTTAATCTGAAGTATGTAAATACCAGAAGGAAAAGAAATATACTCATTAAAATTTATATCGATACGATCACAATGATGAGTTAACTTAATTTAGCCATGTTCATCTGTCCGTCTGTTTGTACGCAAACTTATCAATCAGTTTTTGAGATATTTCAACCAAATTGGATAAGCAATTGCAATGGTACATTAAAACACTTATTTGTGGGAACAGGCCATATACGTCCTATTTCTAAGATAAACTTGACACCGAAATCAATGATCCTTCCAACCAATTTTTCAGATATGTGAATTAATCTTTAATCCTAAAATTAAATTTCACAAATTTTATATGGTCATAAAAGCTATAAAAATAGCAGCATGGCCGCAGACAGCTCTTCTTTTTTGTTCTACATAAGGTTACTCCTCGAAAGGGAATTTCCAACCCTGCGAGTGTATTTCTGACATGAAATAAAGGCTCCTCGTAAAAAAACCATCAGCTGCTTAGTATAAACTGTAGTTCCTTACATTTGACACATACACATACCACAAATTACTTCAGCAGTTGAATGCCCCTAAAGTATGAAAAAGAGTTTAGAGATTTTTGTTTGTCAAGGGAAATAAACAATATATATATATATATATATGGCTTTTATTAAGCTCTAAATATTATATGAAGAGAGAGATTATTATAATTGTTATGCATCTGGAGCTATCTAGGGTATTAATATTATATTTTCAGTATATATATGTAAACATATTTCTCTTAAAAACTTGGTGTTGATACCAATTTAAACCCAAAAATAGTCGGTAAAAAAAAAAAATTGATAATATGTCGACTCAGGCGCCACCTGGTGGGCACATATTTTGCCTTCATAACAGGCACAATTATTTTTGTAGATAATATACACATGTAAATATAAATATTTTCGACGCTCATAATTACCAATAGTTTAGCATTGCGCACTAGTATACAGAAAGCCAAGGTTCGAGTCTTGGAAAATTATTTTTTTAATTGCAGTTACCCCTCGGAAAGGAGTGGCTACCCTCCGGGACTGCTTCTGACCCTCCGTTTGACAGCAAAACATCAAACTAAAAACCACAGATTGGAGGAGAAGCTTTGCTGAAACAAGCTTCAGCGGTTACAAAGCGCCAATTTTATAATTTAAAATTTAATTTTTTAAATGACATATTATTAACTATTATTAATGGTGCAAAGAAAAAAACTATATCTTTTAAAATAATTTAAAAAAAAATAATAATTAAAATTTGTATCTGCTGCATTTTTTTATCTGTCCAACGGAGCTGATGTGTTTCTTCAAATACTAAAAAATATTTATAACATTCACACGCAAACGAGTTCCCTTATCATCCGTTTTTGATTAAATAAATAAATAAAAGAAAATATATCAAGAAAACATTTGATAACTCGATAAGCTTTTACTGCTTTTCAACGTGCAAATCTCGTCATTTGATAGATTTATAAAAACTTTTGCTTTTTATTTAAAAAATGAAAGTCAAAGAAATACAATCCAGTTTTATTCAGTGAATTTGCAAAAATTCAACGGTTATCAATGAAAAACTTAGGAAAGTAAAAAGTGTAATTTCCTTGCTTTGCTTTGTAGACGAGTCAGCCTCGCCCATGATTTATTTGCTCCCTACGTAATTCGGCATCGTCTAATCGTCTAATGTCTAATAAATATGACGTTATCGCTGGCTAAGCGTGTACGCATATAAAAAATTATTAGTGATAAAAGAATTCAAAAAAGCATGTGTTTATTTTATTGTTATACCACATGATGTTATGCTTGTTGGGTGTAGTAGAAATATTGTTTTATATTGCTATTGTTTTGAAATGTTAGCTGCTGAAATAACACATTACACATTTTAGTGGGCATTTCCAGGGTGTCATACATATATGAAAATAAAACAAGTCCACACTATTTTGGACCTAAGCAGAAAAAGTTCTATCCCTGATAATTTATGAACCTGGCACCGAAGCTTCACTGCTTTTTTATGATTGATTCTAGTTTACTGATATAGTCAATAGCTTTTATGATTTTTCACAATTAACTGTAATTTGCTTGAATTAAAATTAAAAAATCCGAAATGGAGAAATGTTAAACTGAGAGTTTTGTATTGCTTGTGGTCTCTTTTTTCTTTTACGTATTAGAATCAAACAGTAGTCGCTCATCATGCCAGAAGCCTTGCTATCGCCTTTCGAAGTTTGCTAGATCTTGGTGTAACCGCTATCCTTCATTTCCACTCATTATTTAATTTTTTAGGTATGACAATTTGAGAAACAATTTGATTAAATATCTAAAAACGGATCCTTTACGATTGGATGTTTTGACGAAGTTCTCAGCATGGCTCAGTTGTATGTGAAGAGCTATCAGAAATATGTCTAATGGGTTTACAATCGATTACCGGTGATGTTTTGTTATCCAGGCTCATGCTCGTATTGAATAAAAATAACGTGGCCAATCTATTCTAGTAAAGATGTTCAATTGCGCGGCATAAAAGCAGTGAAATTCGGTGCATCCCAAGCAGGAATAGGAATAGATTAATGGTTTTTTCAAGTTCATTATTGAGAAGCGCAGCTTTCTGGCTATATTTGAAACCATTAATGAGCATACACATTCATTTCGATTGTGCGTTGTATTTGTTTTATTAAATAAACCATCAATGTCGTCACAGAAACTTATGTTTTCTCCTTTAAAAAAAATGGGTATGATTCTGTGTGGAGTAACTTGTGTTTAAAAGTCAAGATTTCCATTTATGTGATTGCGGTGCAAGCAATATATACATATATATATATACAGCCTTTGGCCAAAAGTATTGGACACCCCACTAAAATATAAGTATACTCACATGTGACCATCAAAGTTGCCACTTCTTTTTGTAAATGTCTTACATGGGTATTTAACTGTTTATTAAACGAATAAATTATGTAATATGAAAAGTCATAGCACTAAATGCCTAAAAAAGTGAAATTAGTTACGATGATAGAGTTAGAATTCAAGTTCTAAGTGAAGAAGGTAAGTCTCAGGCTGAGATTGCCAATTTGGCAGGATGTTCGCGGTGCGCGATCCAATGTGCTATCAGGCGATTTGTGGAGACGAAATCCCACAATAATAAATTAAAAAGTGGAAGAAAGCGTCTAACCAGTAAACGAAAAGACCGAATATATATAAGCGAGTATCTCAAGGATCGCAAACAATATTCTTCTGCCCTTGCAGCTGTCCTTTCGGATGAATGTAGTAAGCCAGTTAGAGCTCGAACAGCTACAAGAATACTTCTGGAAGCAGGTTTAAAAAGATATGAAGCCCGAAAGAAGCCGTGGCTCCCAGAAGAGAATAGGAAAAATCGGTTGGAATGGGCTCGCCGATACCAACATTTCACGGAAGAAGATTGCTCGAATGTTCTGTGGTCGGTGAAATGTTCGTTTGCTTGGATCGCATGGACAGTCAAAATTGCATAAATGTATTAAAAACTGTTCTTCTGCCATCGTTAACGCGCATTTTCGGTGATACTAATTTTGACGGGGTTGAATTTTAGCAAGACAATGATCCTTGTCACAAATCAGCTACTACGATCCGTTGGTTTAGAGATAACAACATTGTTTTGTTAGATTGGCCTGCACAGTCACAGATCCTAATCCCATTGAGCACATGTGGGCTATTTCAAAACGCAAGATTAAGGAACAGAGTATAAAAATTCAGTAATTAGTGGGGTGCCTAATAATTTTGGCCAAGGCTATATATACACACAAACAAGTATACTTCTCTTCCTACTCAAATGTGTAAAGTCGATAGTATTTGTCAAGCGAATATATTATAATTGGCTAATCATAGCTGCGTATAACCAATTAAGTTCTTATCAACTTTAATTGCTTGAATGTCAATTTTTATAAACTTTTACGATTTAATACTTGTCCGAGTAAGCTTACTTATTGTATAAAAATAAACGCTGATGAATTTCAAATTGATATCGTATTTAGGTGCCGTGACAGTGAAAGAACGTTCATAAATATGAATTAGTAATTGCAGTTCAAAATAATATAATCATTGCTAAACAAATTTTAAAAATACTTAAAAGAATATAAGAGAAGTTAAAGACATAGATGAATATATATGCATAAGCTTTCGTGTATGTATGCCCTACGTCTGACGGTAATTCCGAAATTGTGGCATCTAATTCAAAAAATTTCATTAAGCCAACAAAAAATATATCACGAACCTTAAATGATATATATATATATATATATATCATTTTAACATATATATATAACATAACAAAACAATAAAACAATATAAAATAAATACCTTAGTAAATAAATAATAAATAATAAAAGAAACAAGCTTAAAAAAAATTACCATATAAATAATTTTAGATAATATTTTCCTTCTTTCAAACTGAGATCTCATAAACAATGAGCAGATAAATAGTATTTTTTTAGGTCAACGTCCGACCGTTTCAACAAATTATCTCTGCTATATTGGAGTCTTCAAGATAAAGTGCAATGAAATAATTAAGCCGCTGATAGAACCACAAACAAAAAGTTAGTTTGATAACATCTTAACCTGGAGTATTTTCTTCCCAACTTCCACTTGATGACCAGAAATTATAACAGAAGAGACATTTGCCGCATCTCTAATTTTTAAATTAATGAAAACGTCTCTAAGCCCCAAAATTAGGCTCTGTATTTAAAGCAACGCAAACAGACATTTTTGGCTTGAATTTTCAAATTAGACAATTTTTTCAAGAATCCATTCTATGCTATTATTTGATATTGCCCCTAATAGTAGGCAACGATATATTTTTATATTAAAAAATATTCCCAATAAATTGAAATATATACATATAAAAGCATTGTCCACATTTAGTGCATCTTTAAATAGATCAAAAAATATTTATATATAAAAAATTATATTCCAAGTATCCGCTTAAAGAAGTAATTTCAAATCCAGACTACACCACCTTAACAGTACGGCCAGTTGTATTCAATCAGACATTCAAAGGCGACTAAGACTGTCCATGATTCCGCCATTTACAGAAACCTCATTAAATTGCACCTAATAGAAGAAGAGATGTTCTGCTGAAACCCGCTTATATTACCATATTGTATATACATACATATATATTATATAATAAAAATTAACGCTTTTGTAATTGACGAGCGATTTTCAGCCCGAGCAGGAGCTCCAATTGATCGTGTACGTTTAATATTTTTACAACATATAGCGAGACCTACAGCTTATTCTAAGCCACCTACGAACGGCTAATAGATATGTATTATGAGAAGCTCTTTTGAATTATTTTTGTATTGTTTCAAGCAATCAACGCATGATAATCGAAGAATAGAATGGAAAAAACTTCGAGCCTCGACTCTGGCCGGTTTTCCAGCCATTGGCTGAATTGGTTTTTTCCATTTGGACGATTGGACTTTGGTTTCGATGCCATAACCCCATAACCATTCTTCCAAGTTATCATCATTTTAGGCAAACCTGGATCACTTTAACGTCAGCCGACTAATCCTGAGCGATGGTCATCCAACGGTAATTTTTTTTTTTTTGCTCGAAACAAACTGAGCTGCTAAGCGCATAAGGGCTAAACTTTCCGAGAAAATCACATGACAAGAGCCCACCAATATTCCGATATTCTCAGAGCTCTTCTCATAGTGATTATTTGATTAACAATAAAATTAGTCAAGATAACTTCACTTCTCCGGAATCTCTATTTACCTTTAATGGAAAGCTTTTACCACCTTCAAAAATGTATAGCTTATAGTCCTCTCCCCGCTATACAACTCTTATTAGAAGTATATCCATCGGTTTTGAGCAATGAATCATATTTTCTACGCAAAATCTTGATGAGGGTTCCTCGATCCATTTTTTCGAAGACAGAAAGTCGCCAGACACAAATCTGGTAGACCACAAACATATAAGTATATTATGTGATCTAGTAGATTCCTGTATATATATATATATATATATATAATCTTAAATTTTTTAAAAAATTTATAAACTCATTATGTTTTTCCCTTCTTTTCTACAGATGGCGCGGTAGTATCTACAAGCTCGTTTGGCTGGATCTCCTCGCGTTTCTCTTTCTTTATTACCTACTTAGTATAGTTTATCGATTCGCATTAAATGAAAATCAAAAACAGTAAGTTTGATGGTACTAACATCTAGTATATATTATTATAAGAAGGTGGATATGAACCCGCTGTCCTGCAATAATTAAATTCAAGGAACTAAGTCGTTTAAATTCAAGAACTTAATTAGCACAATCCTTCAAAAAAAAAAAAACATTTCTACACTAAATTTTATTTTGTTATTTTTCTTGAAAATAATGCTGATTTTCGTGTAATCTATCATGAATACCAACTTACTCGTATGTTTATAAATTTTTTCTTCGATTCACATAGAATATTCGAAGGCGTTGCAAAATATTGCTACAGCTACAGTGATCTTATACCACTCTCATTCGTGTTGGGTTTCTATGTGTCCATCGTCATGACACGTTGGTGGAATCAATACACTAGCATACCGTGGCCCGATCCGATTGCGGTATTCGTTAGCTCCAACATACACGGACAGGATGAGCGTGGTCGTGTTATGCGTCGTACAATAATGCGTTACGTTTGCCTCTGCCTAACCATGGTATTGATAAATGTATCGCCACGTGTGAAGAAACGTTTTCCAGATTTAACACATCTCGTCGATGCTGGTCTCTTGAATGATAATGAGAAAACGATTATCGAGAGTATGAATAAGGATTTTCCACGCCACTCAAAACATTGGCTACCCATTGTTTGGGCGGCAAGTATAATAACAAGAGCGCGCAAAGAGGGTCGCATTCGTGATGATTTTGCGGTGAAAACGATTATTGATGAGTTGAATAAATTTCGTGGTCAATGTGGTCTATTGATATCGTACGATACGATTAGTGTGCCGCTCGTGTATACACAAGTGGTCACCTTAGCGGTATATTCATTCTTTCTCTGCTCGGTTATGGGTCAGCAATGGACGGAAGATAAGCAGGCGTTCCAAAAGATCGACATCTATTTTCCAGTGTTTACAACTTTGCAATTTTTCTTCTACATGGGTTGGTTGAAAGTGGCCGAATCGCTGATAAACCCATTTGGCGAAGATGATGATGATTTTGAGGTGAGTGTGGACAATTGGAATAAATATTTATTTTTGCAATCAAACGTCTTTTTTTTTTGAATAATGAAAAAAGTTTTAAAGTAATCTGAACGATCAGCTGTGTTGAAGCTTCTATATACAATACATATATAGTTCGGTAAGAAATGACAGTAAAAATTAGTCAGTAACGAAATCTCAAAATATTCCTCACTCCGTACAAACTTTACTCACGTAACCATACAGAACTAATATCAATCATAATAAGAAGAGCTTCCTTATTGCCAGAGTTATTTCCGAAAACCACTTTTTTGGAAGAACCATTTGCTAAAGGGCAATAGCATATATTGGGTTACCCAAAAAGTAATTGCGGATTTTTTAAAAGAAAGTAAATGCATTTTTAATAAAACTTAGAATGAACTTTAATCAAATATATAATTACCATTTTGTTCGATTTGCTTCCGTTTGCCAAATTTAGTAATCCACGCTCATAGAACTTCTGGCCTTTATCTGCAAAAAACTGAACCAAGTGCGATTTTATAGCCTCATCATTGCCGAAAGTTTTACCATTTAAGGAGTTCTGCAAAGATCGAAATAAATGCTAGTCTGATGGTGCAAGGTCAGGGCTATATGGTGGATGCATCAAAAGTTCCCAGCCAAGCTCACTCAATTTTTAGCGAGTGACCAAAGATGTGCGCGGTCTAACGTTGTCCTGGTGGAATATGACACCTTTACGATTGACCGATTCTGGTCGCTTCTCCTTGATGGCTGTATTCAATTTGTCCAATTGTTGACAGTAAACATCCGAATTAATCGTTTGGTTCCTTGGAAGCAACTCAAAATATACGACACCCTTCCAATCCCACCAAACAGACAGCATAACCTTCTTTTGGTGGATATCAGCCTTTGAAGTGGTTTGAGCTGGTTCACCATGCTTGGACCATGATCGTTTTCGACTAACGTTGTTGTAAACAATCCATTTTTCATCTCCAGTTATGATTCGTTTTAAAAACGGATCGAATGCATTGCGTTTAAGGTGCATATCCTCATATGGCTGCCGCAGCTGACCTTACAATAGCCCATTTCGTCTAGTCTAAATTTATCACACAGTTCGATTGTGTGGTTGCCTATAGCTGCATTGGATGCTCGAATCTCGTGTTCAAAGTCACTAATCATCTCTGAATGGTTAGTGTAGCTCTTATACTTAAGGGCTTCCCACACGAAATAGTTCAACAGAGTGAGAAAACAGCTGCTCATGTGATTCACTCTAACATTTGGATGCAAATAATTCTGAGCATGGCACGGTAACAATCAACAATGACTGTAAGGGCAGCTTATTCCACGCTTTTGAAGAAAAACGGTACAAAAATGCCGCCGGTACACTTGCAGCACCAAATAATCACTCATTGAGGATGCATTTTCCATAGTTATGTGACGAGTGCCTAAGCCCCAAATGCAGCTGTTTTGTTCCTAACATCAACATTGCATCAGAAAAGAGAATTTTCTGTGAAAATGTTAACCTTTTGCCGAGCGACCCTCCTCAGTCTTAGAACTGAAGTTTAGAAACCTTCACCTCAAGGTCTTTATACACAATCCTGGAGAAAGAAGTGCGGAAAAGTTTAATTCCTGCGAACGTTGCAGTATTGACGTTGATGGTTGTTCGAGAACACTTTGAACTACGTCAGTATTATCTTTGTCTGAACGCGCTGGACGAACAAGAGTTAGTTTGTCCGATAACAAACTGGTTTGGTGAGCACGAATTTCATGAGTAACTTTCTTGCAGTCGCGGTTGAAGATTCACCATTTCGGAAGAAAGTTTTCAATATACCCGAATTTTCTTCAATCATAAACTTAACCCTTTCGTGAACCGCAAATCTTGTTGTCAATGACTGGCATATCTGGAATATCATTGAAGATGTCAAAACTCAAATAAACTCAAATAATAGTTCAAAGCTACAAATAAAAAAATATTTTAAATACATTTTTAATTTTTATTACAAATAATACACTGGTTATAACCTCACTCTCTCTCACACTCCTATGCACAGGTCAACTGGATGGTGGATCGTAATCTCGTAGTGTCTTATTTAATTGTCGATGAAATGCATCATGACCATCCGGAGCTAATCAAGGATCAATATTGGGATGAAATATTCCCAAGTGAATTGCCGTACACAGTGGCATCGGAACGTTTCCGCGAAGAACATCCCGAACCGTCAACAGCCAAAATTGAGGTGTCGAGTAAGGCCGCCATGCCAACAACATTGTCAAGTGTGCGCGTCGACGAAATGGTTGGTAACAAACCATCAGCATATACAACAACCACACTTACAGATAATTTATCCCAAACTCCACCAACATCAATGCAAGCAGTTAGTTATAAATTTCCCGAAATGTCACAAGAAGAGGAGGTTAGAATCAAAATTTTTCGTGTGCGCATTAACGTGACGGCACCGTTATTGGCTCTAGCAACAGCAATAATAAGAGCAATAACATTAACTTCAGCTATAGCTATACGTACATATACTACTACCACTACTACTACTATATTTAACAACAACAGCAACAACAACAATAATAACAATATAATTGGCTTATTTCACTTCATCTAAATTTCAACGTCCAAACAAAATTAAATGTGTTCGTACCCACTGTACCTCTACCAACAGAATGGCCTGGGCCGCTAAAGTCTTTATCTAAAAACCAAAAAAAAATGCAAGAAAAAAGAAAAAAAAACTTATTGTGCACGTTTTAGTGGATGAGTGAAATATTCATACATGCATATAATATATATATATATACATATGTAGATCTTGTAACTAAGTACTTCTGGTTAATAATCGAAACGGTTGATAATTGGCCTAAACTGACGGTGATTGGTGTGCACTTTCATATAGTTATTTATATTTTTTTAGTGGTGTTTATACGAGTATATGTACATACGTATTCATATATACAATATTTTAGTATTTACTAGGCGGTGTAGATCGGTTTTAACATAAAAGTTCTACTTACCTATTTTAATATTTTAGTATGTGTATTTAAATAATTATTTTAATTAATTCAAAGTTAAAATAATATTTATGAACATATTTTCAAATATGTATATTTCATATTTCTTGTTCTCGTTGTTAACGTGATCACACTTTAAGCTGCTTGTAAACGACTAAGCACACTTTTGTAGATATTCTTTCGCTATGTTCTTTGTATATATGTATATATGCATATATGTATGTATAATAATAAGTATGTGCATGTAAAAAAAAAACAAAAAAAAACGTTTGGACCTACCAGAAAAATTATCAAAATTTGTAAAAACAATTTCCTATGTCCATATATAAATATTTACATGCATATACTACTACTTTTTGTTGTGTTTGCACTGAAAAAAATCGAAATTCTAAGGGCTTATGGAACTAACTTTTGATTCTAATTCTTTCTTCTTCTACAGCTGTACAAGTGCTTGAACTATCTAGCGATCCACATAGTAGATTTGAGTGCATGAATTAAATATTATTTTTTTTTTTCACAAACATATTAACACATTTGTTGCTAGGAAAAAATATGTATTAATTCAAAAATTATATTATACCAACGCCCCTATTTGGGAATGTTAATTCTGACCTTTACTCATCATTCTTAGATAATACTAAGTCTAGTAAAAAAGTAATATATACTACTTTATTTGCTCGATAACTTTTTGCCATTTTGAATCTCCTTATGCCTCTCTCATTGAAACCCTTGTCCCTGTTAAAAAGTATTGAGACAATTCATTTCCACAGGCTTCTTTTGAGTTCAGTACTTCACCAGGCAAATCATTCACCATAGACACGAACAGATAGTAATCACTTGATGCGAGGTCCCGACTATAGCTTATTGCATAAGAACCTCCCAACTAAGCTCTCGCTGCTTCTGGGGAGTAACTACAGATATGTGTGATCTAGAATTGTCCTGATGAAACTTAATTCCTAACCTGTTGTCCAAAGTTGGGCGCTGCTGGACGTAGGGGTGTAGCTCATAGTGGATGATTCCTTAGCAATCCCACCGAACTAACAACAAAACTTTCCGCGTCAGTTTTGAACTGATTTTGAAGTACTGCCGGATAACTTCCGAATTGATCCCAGAATCTATATGAAGCAGAGTCTGAAATGGTGATGAACAATCACTTACTTATTCTGAGAACAACTGATCCCGAAGTAAGAGCGCTAATAACTACAAGAAACTAATTTGTATGGCTTAACGATACGATAATTGCTTTGCTCACAATTGCCACATAGCTGCCTACAAATTTTGACCTGACTTGGAGCAATTATCAACTGGGAAGCCAAAAATTTTACCTTCACTTGAGACCACGACGTGTATTAAGATACTATTTCCTCGTGGTCGTTTGCCACGTCCTTCTCGACTTGATATTTCGAACAAAGTAAAAAAGAAGTCTTCCACTGCTTTCATCCGAGGGTACTGCTTTGAAAACTTGTATAGTTTGAGCGTTTCCATTCATCTGGATCAGATGATCTATACAACGTAGCCGCTGTCCTTTAATACCATTCAACTTATCATATATGTAACTCGCCCCTCTACCATCTATCGGTATTCGCCTTCACTCATACATACGCACCAGAAGCCTTTGTACCGAAAACTCCTACTGCCAACTCATCGGAAGTTAGCGAAAGGAGTAATGATTGACTTGTCGGACTTTATCTTTGTTCCTCGAGAGAAAACTTTACTCTTAGTTGGTAGGGAATTTATAAATTACTCTCTGCACCCTGCAAAGCTTCGCTACTGCATTGAATGTATTATAAATTAATAATGGGATATCTTTTTATCTTGACTTTATTTACTCAATATTTGGGGAATACAATGTTTTTGGTTTCACCACTTCCCGAATAGAGAAAAAGTCCGACTTTTTGAATAGGCAAGTCCCCGGTCCAGAGTTAATCTAAGCAAAAAGAATGAAAAATTAACCGATTTTCAAATAAATCGAAACATAAATAAACTTTTTTAAACTTGAATAGGTTAGCTCCTGGGTCGAATTTCATGTAAGTCTAACAATAAATACGGATTTTTCGAATAGGTCAGTCCCTGGTCCACTTCCCGAAATTTTTTTTTCGTAAAACCTTTACCAGAATAGAAGCAATCTGACGAAATGTCCCGTCATTCGGTAGGTAACTTTTGGAGAACAGCCGTTCCGAGGAGCATAAGAGGTTTTTCGAGTTGATCGGTCCTAAGTACTTTTCGCGGAGACTAAACTAAACTACGCAAAAGGCTACCTTTGTATCAAAATTTCAAGTAAATCGAACTATAAAATCAAATTTTTCGAACAGATCAATCCCCGGCCCTTTTGATATAGCCTAGTGCTGACTTCATATCTCTATCGGTGTATTTCAAAAAATTTTTCGAAAAATTATTCCAACTCTCCGCAGTAGATAACAGTGCCTGCCGGTTTATCGCTGACTAAAAAAAATTTGCCAATTGCTTTCTCGAATAATGATGATTCTTTTTTCTACTTCTTCTCATCCGCAATTACAATATATAAGTACGTTTTGAGATAATAAAAAGCAAACCTCCCTGACAGTCCCACAAGCATTTAATAAGACGACTTAATTTGATCTTGCCCAAAGAGGTTAAGCTTTAAATGAAGATTGAAGTCCTTATGGAGCCTCAAGAAAATTTGTATATAAACGCCTAATGTAAGATGTTCAAATCATAAGAAGTTTCGTTTATAGGTTCAACCTAGATGGAGGTAGTTTAATGGGCAGCTCTGGTGGTTGAGGTCATCGCCATTGAATTACATTCTAAGAGGGGCGTTTTTCGTCAACAGTGGCTCTACTCCTCCCTTTTTTTTTGAATAAATACATGTGTTTTTTTCATACATTTTCAATTTTAATACATGCACTCAACTTTAACTAGACCACAAGTAACGCTCGGCACTACATTGTCTCACAAGGATCGGGCATCACTGTTTAATTGCACGCACCTCACAGCCGTGTGAGTCCATTTCGCACGGATTTATATATTAACTGCACGCACTCTCTCTCTTTTAACTATTTTGATTGGCTATTTTATTTGTAAATTACTTTGGGTATTTCTTTATCTGGTGGTTTTTGCAATATAACTAAACGATTTCCAAGAATCCCTGTACAAACACATACTAATTTTATAAATTTCCCTTGCTGCACCCAATACAGGCCGATGATGCCAGCGGCATACACTTTACTGCCGGCAATGGCAAAGTGCGACACGGTTCCTCACCCAGCCTAGCCAGTTTAAGTGGCACATTGTCACGTGTCAATACAGTTGCTTCGGCGTTGAAACGTTTCCTCAGTCGCGACGAACGTCCCGGTTCAACGACACCGGTAGATGATTATACACAAAAGCAACGTTTTCCTGGTAGCGATAGTTCGGCCAGTTTGGGTGGTAACTATGCCAATAAACCGCCCGGTAGTGTACGCATCACAGATCAAGTCATCGAAGAGGTGGACGAACAGACCACCATAACGTCACATCGTGCCAACGAACAACCACGACCGAATGTACGCGATATTTTCCTGCAAGATCTCAACAATCAGAGTTCATCAGCGGCCGGTGGTGGTAGTGCGCCACGTTCCGAACCGATGGATATACCACCCAGACCTACATCATATATGCGTACGCAATCCACTTATGAACCGATGCTGTTTCCACCGGGCGGTGTGGAGGCATTGCTGAGCACATCAGCGCCGACTAATGGCAGTCCACGTATGGTGCAGACTGTGCCGAATTCACCAGTCGCCGATCCGTCAAGCACCAAATCGCTTTTCGATCGTCAAGCAATGCAGGAGCAGGGCAGTCGTGAGACGGGTGAGTTTGGTGAAAAGATTTACATGCCATTTTTCACGGTCATACTCATCATGAGCATTTACCATATACATATACGATCTGATAAACACATATGCATTTGTATGTTTTTTTAATAAATTTCATTTAATCATTTAATATTTATTTTTGCTCTGGGAAATCAAATATTAGAACAACGTCCCGCAGAAGTGCCACAGGTTTTCAGATGGTTTTTATCGACTGGTAAATTTTTGTTAAAATCTTATGTTAATTTACTGAAATTCGTTGTTGTTTAGTTGTTACTTTTCCCCATAGTGAATTTAGTTGCTTTTCCTCTATTTATTCCAGTATTTATTGGCATGTTTTGATTTTGATTCCGATTTTAATTTGAATTGACTTTGTGGCGTGATGCGTTATATTGCTTGCTATAGACCTCAAATTGTTTATATTAGGTCAAGTAAAAAGTTCGTTCGGTTTATTTTTATTGATTTTTTTAAAATATGATAAGATGGGTGCATTAGGACCTCCCACCCGACCTCCTGAAGTTTCTGGCGCGTCACCAAAGACGTGTGTGGCCTGGCGTTGTCCCGATGGAACACAATGCGGCCTTTGTTGATCAAAGATGGCCTCTTCTGGATGAGTGCTGCCTTCAAGCGGTCCAGTTGTTGGCAGTAGAGGGCTGAATTAAGCGTTTGGCCATAGGGGGCAGCTCGTAGTAGTTGATCTACTACATCGAAATTACCGGAATGGAACCTAGCAAACCACTTGTGTGCTACACGTTCGTTTACAGTATGGGGCCCATAAACTAAATTAATTTTTTCAGCCGCTTTGGCTGCTTTTTCGCCTCGATCGAAGAAAAATTTTTTAAATATAGCGAATTTCCTTTTTTCCATCTTTGACGAGCGCTAACAACGTACTGAGTCAATCAATCGAAAAACTGTCAAAGACAAACGACACGAAATACTAGCACTATGGACAATAACGCCATCTCTTAGATAAAAACCCGAACGAACTTTTACTTGACCAATATTAATACCCATTTGTCCGTTTGAGATTAAAACTACTAGAGAGTTGCGCTTCGCTGCTGTTAGCTTTTTGATATGCAAACATAGAATAGTTAAGTTAAAAGTTTCATAAACATAAACACAAAAACCTCTCGACACTCGAAGTCATACTCGTTATATCCACCAAACTTTTAAAAAAAACTTTATTTTGCTTCTCTAATTGATTGCCATCGAAGGCAGGATGATATCTCCAAGGACTTAAATATATATGCTCTAGTAGAAAGTAAGCCATTATTTTTGCATTGAATTAAAGGCTTTATTTACCATAAATAAAGGCTCCTCGTAAAAAACCATCAGCCCTTCGGAGGCGGCTTAGTATAAACTATTTGAAAAACATCTAGACGAAAAAACACAAATTGGAGAAGGAGCTCGGCCGGTACATCTCTTCGGCGGTTACAAAGCGCAAGTTATATATATATTTACCATAGACAGAATTATCCATATAATGGATAGATGCATAGAAACCTCCCAATTAAGCTGTCGTTCTTTTGACAGTCCCGTCGCTGCCAATGTCAGTCTGAATTCAGAGTTTGGCAGTAGAGGGGCAACTCATAGTAGATCATTCCTTGCCAATCCTATCAAACACCTAACAAATCCTTCCTGACGCAATGTCCTTTGACCAGCTTTCGTTTTCATTTCAGTCTTAACATTTCTTAGCATAGAATTAGTGCCTTAAAGTGGTGACTTTAGTTACGGAAAGAAAAAAAGTTAGTTAGGGCATATAAGATCGCCTGAGCTTTTGCCGCAGGTTCCAAGTGCACAGTACCGGGAAGTTAATTTATTAGACTTTGACGTCGTTTGATGTCATCTCGAATATATTCGACTTATAAACCATATGTCTTCTCACCAGTTATAATGTGTTTAATGAGTTTTAGAAGAAAATTCAAGGTTTTTGGAATTAGTTGAGGGACAAGGCTTTCCATGCCCAAACATTCGTTTAAAGTGACCCGAATTGATATGTGAAGCGCAGAAAGTTCACAGAGTGCGCGTCTAGATTTCTTAACTCTAAATGAGATTTCTAAACTTCAACTAAAGACATTGATTGTCGACCTGCCTCAGTTCGATAATTTTAAAATTCATGCCAATATTCAAGGAAATCGATCGCATGCTGGCACAAACTCACATGCTCAACACCCTTTCACATTTCTGGTTTATAAAATTTCTCATTAGATGACCGGGAAAACGTAAGCTAATTTTGTTTGCCCCACTTAGCTTTCGCAAACCATTATATAACCCTAAAACAATTCTGTTGATATCTCATTCCGGGTATTGGCGTGGATAAAATATCATCAGCTTGATTTAATCGTTTCAAGTCAGCAAAGGGCAGACTTCGAGTCCTGTTTCGACCAACATCTAAAAATCATAGAAAAAATGTTTTTCTAATTGCGGTTGCCCCTCGACAGGGAATGTCATGTTCTCCGATTATAAATCCGACATTACATTTAATAAAAGCTCCTCATAAAAATCCATCGGCCTTTTAAAAGCGGCTTAGAATAAATTGCAGGTTCCTCCATTTGGTTTTCCAATAATATTTTGATATTTTAAGAAAAATCTTTTGAGAGATAGATAATCGGAAGTTTATTTCAACGTAAAGAGGAAATATGCCATTAATGGTGGAAAGTAATATCAGCCAATTGACAGCTCTGACCACGATTACAGGACCATATATTTTTTATTAGATTTTCACCAAATTGCAAAGCGGTTGCTGAGGTCTTCAAAGAGCGTTGGTCTGTTGGCGAAGACCTTATCTATCACATGGTCCAAAGGAAGAAATCGCAAGATGCTAAATCACAAGATCTCGGTGGTCTTGCGATCACCTCTTTGAGAGATAGCACGGTCCGGAAATTTCTCCTTTTAAAAGATCAATGACTTCGTTGAGTAAATATTGTCGAGATCAATATCATGCAATTCCGGCTAAAAGCCATCAAGGTGTAAATAGACCTCATTAGTCAAGATGGGTTTTAGACAAAGACACAACGTTGTTGATGATCACCGACTTGAGTTGTTAAAAGAACTTTATGAATTGGAAAGCCATATATGACAATCTCAAATGCGGTATTCATCATCTCTCCCTCTCCCTCTCTCTCTCTGTCACTCTCTCTCTCTCGCTCTGTCTCTCTCTCTCTCTCGTTGACTCTCTTTCTCTCTGTCTCGTTCTCACTCTGTATTTCTCTTTCTCTCTCTTTCTCTCTCTCGTTCTCCCTCTGTCTCTCTCTCTCTCATTCTGACTCTCTTTCTCTCTCTCTCTCTCTCATTCTGACTCTCTTTCTCTCTCTCTCTCTCTCTCTCTCTCTCTCTCTCTCTTTCTCTCTCTCATAGGCCTTTGTTATATTAAGTGCAAAGTTTAAATTTGATAAAACGGATGTTGAGTTATCCCTCCAGTTAGAAATGACTTTAATCAAAATCGGTAGCAAAACGACAGAATTTCTTCCTCCACAATTTCTGTTGTCCCTCTTCTGTAAAATACTTCCATTAAATTATTTTCGTATTGGTGTAGTACTCGTACGCCTATTATATAGCTATTCTTTCTTAAGTCCTAAGAATCTGATTGTAATTATAGTAACTGTTTTATGGTGAATCTTTTCCTACTATGATTAAGTAGAGGCAATTGCCTATCTCGTCACTCTACACGTAGTACAGTTAAATTAGAAATTTAGAGATTAAAAAATAACTACCTAAATATGTCATTTAATATATGTACATACAAATTTTGTTTAACTGCATGCTATTTAGAAATCATAACTTGAAAAAAAAAAAGAATTATTTCAAAAAACAAACCCTGAACTAAATCAATTTTTACCCCACAGTCGATGACATGGAAATCAAATCCACGACCGATGCGCCGGGCGCCGTTGACGAAGGTGATGATTTTGACAAACTGAAGGCGGCGCGAGAGAAGGAGCGTCAACAGCGACAGCAACAGAAGCTAGCGCGTACCATAAGCACCGCGCCCGGTGTAGATGGTGGACCGACGGTTGTGCCAGTTGTTGCGGCTGCTATAATACCAACAGCAGTTGTGCCAGCACCGGCAGCAGCAGCGGTCACAGTGCCAGCACCGGCAGCAGCACAAACAACAGCTCAGACGGCGGCAACAACGCGGCCGCTCTCCACTATCTCATCCACTTCTGAGCTCTTGGCCAACGAGCCGAATGTAGGTGTGGAGTCTTCGACACAAACTTCGTCAGACGACAAAGGCTCTTAGGTTTAAATGTTTCCATGTTTAAATTTTAATTTTCTTTTGTTTTTGTAATATTTATGTCTGCTGAAGGTAATTTGCAATACTTTTGCATTAATTTTAAGCTTCTCATATGTACATACATACATATAAAAAACGAAAAATAATTCAATTTTAGTATTTATTCTTGGTGAAACATTATCGAATTTGCAATAACAATTAGTATTTACAAATAATTTCTTTAAAATCCCGATGTAAAAAAAACGGTATTAGTATTTGTGGCATTAGCGTGTGTATAGCGTAGCATATTTTAGGGCGTCGTTGTTCTTAAAAGGTATAAAGTATAAATATTTTAATTTATGTAATATTATTTTTATACGAAAAATTTGTGCGTGAAAGAAATTATTTACATATGTGCATATGTATATGTATTTTGATATAAAATATTACAAATTGTTCTAATACACTTCATATTTATATGTGTTGTAAATTTGCTAAAATTGTTCCTCTTTCCAAATGCCGTGAAGCGCAAATGCTCAGAAATTTACTTTGTTAAACAATAATTATGACAAATAAATCAAAAATACAAACATACATATGTATAAGACAAAAAAAGCTTTGCTAAAAATTTAAAGTGATATAATTAAAAGACACATACACATACATATATTTTTGAAGAAGAACATTACTTTTTTATTATTACTAAGCAGCATATTTTGCGGCAAAATTATGATACTGCAATTCTTGAGATATACATACATACATAATTACGTAAGCATAATTGACGATATTAAACAATGTTAAAATAAAAATAAATTCGGGCATAAAAATACTGGTTGTGTGGACATTTGTTTAAGAAAAATTTTGTTAAATAAGAATAAAAATAAATTTAAGCAATTTACTTTACAATTTTTTTTTGCATTAATTTAATAATATAACTAAGCCTGTAATTAGTGTTAATCGCAACAAAATATCAACAACTAAAAAATTAAGTTACTTGTGCTACAATGTAAACATACAATAAGTAATCTCTATAGTATTTAAAACCCGAAAATACTTTAAAAATAATTATAAATAATTTTAGTTATAATATTTAACTAATTTCACATATATTTTTATTTAAAAAAAAAAAAGTAGAAAGGAAATTGTATAAGCAAACACAATTGATTTTGAATTTCAAATAAAATTGAGCTAAAATCAAATAAATTTGGAAAAAAAAATTGAAGTCAAAGTAAAATCTTGATTTTAATGCAGGACCTGTAAATTTTCGATGGAGCCTTCATTTCAATGCATTTCAGGCTTATTTACGTAAATAATCCCATTCATATATATTATATATAAATATATAATTGGTGCTTTGTAAGCGCTGAAACGATTTTCGGCCGAGCTCCTAATCCAATTTGTGTGATCTGCTGTTAATACTAAGCCGCCTCCGACCGGTTGATGGTTATACCTGAATGAAGAGCCTTTATTTCATATCAGAATAACACATTCCTTGCTGAGAGGCGACCGCAATTAGAAAATTTAACTCATTTTTTTAATTAATTATCTATAATTTTTGGTTGCTGATCTTATTAGGATTTGAACCCTGGCCTTCTGTATGACAGTACGCAATGCTAATCACTCAACTATCGCGACCGCGATTTTACGTCAAATAACCTAACAAAATATAGTTGGCGGTGTTAAATCGCACTATCTTGAAGGCTACGCCACAGGCCAACCTCGTGAGATAATCCGCTCACCAAAATATTGATTCAACGAATTGATTGTTTCGTTTGCGTCTTGTTCGAACTAAAGGTCATCCGCATTAACATGCTCCAATTCAGGCACGAAAAAGTTGTTAATCAAGGCTTTAAAACGTTTCCCATTCACATTACCATCATGACCGGGTTAATTTTTAAAGAATTATCTGCCAATGATTCTTTATGCCCATAGAGCACAGTGTCTTTTTGAAGTTGTAACGGCGTCTCAATAATAGGGAATTTTATTGTCGTTCGGCTTAGATTCGGCTCGAGTAAGCTCGCAGGCCGAGATCATTCTGCAAAATCTTCAATAAAATGAATGACGGGCACAGCTCCAATTGTTGCGCACGGCATCGAATAGACTCTTCTTCGATATTCTTCTCCACAGCCGAAATAGCGTCTGCGGTGCACACTATACGGCACCTCTGAGAATGCGGATTATCAACTAAAGTAAACACGGCATGAAACCGATCCATAGTTATTCGAATTACCGACTCTACTGAGCAGTTGTGTCGACCCAGTATTAGACGCAACGCGCGATATGTCATAGGAACCGAATCATTATTTTGCTCGACTTGCAATTATTGTTCCGTGGTAAGTCTGTTCGCTATGAAAAGGCAAATCGAAATGAGTATAAATGAAGTAACACCAAAAGAAAGTGTTGCCTCATTAAAACCCACAGGTTTGAAAAGAACACCCTTTACATATTGTATGTACTACCCTCAGAGCGTTCATAGACGCTATTTACCGTCTCTTCGCATGCCTCTTGAAATCCACTACTTAACAGCGCTCAACGAATGATGCAACAATAGCAAAGTCAATCATTTTCTGTATTCTCCTTGGACAAGTACTTTTTACGACTTGGCGTTCAAATTTTTTTCGAAAATATATATACATAAATATGTATATATGTACGAATAAGGAGAAGAGAGACGAATTCCTCAAAAATACTTTTTTTTATTTCGAATATTTGAGCAATAAATAGTATGCTTAGATGGAAAAAAGAATATAGAATAGACAAATAATAATAATAATAATAATAATAATAATTAAATAAGAAATAATAATAAAACAGTTTAAATGAAGTAAACATTTTATATAACAAAAATAAAAATTGAAACAATATTTATTAAACCATACACAGGAATTAAACGATTAGAAAGGCGAAAACAAAATTAATAAAGAAAAGTATTTACGGTGAGAAACAAATTCAAAAGTACAAAAATTTCAAAGAATTGTTTTTCCTAAAATTTATATAAAGTCGAATCTATATTTAACATATATATGTATGTATGTATGTATATTCGTTGTTACAACTAACATTTAAAGCCGTCATTATCGGTCTCGTGATTCCGTCCGACGCCATACACGCATTAAGCCATCTATCAGCGCAGTAATGCGATCTTGAAATTCAACGTTTCTATTGGTCTCTTCCACAAGACTTTTCAGATTATTTTCAATCTCCTCCTGAAGGTCATCTACTCTTGCGTTCATCTCGAGTACACGCGTATATATACGCTTATTAAACGAACGTTTTTGGTTAACATTATTTTCTGAAAATAATTACATACGTATATACATATGTGCATACTTGATAAATAGAAATAACAACAACAAATACCATCAAGAGAATATACAGAATTTAGATCGTCGTCGTCTGAATCACAGTAATCCTCCTCATCTTCTGGCTCCGCTGACTCAGCAACTGCTAGCTGAGGATGTACAATGTATACACCAGTTATAGGGTCTATGGGCATGCATAAGTTGGTGAAAAAAACAAAAAAATTTTATTTCATTCTCGCAAATCGTCTAAAAATTCATTTTCATTCATTCTTCATTCACTTACCATATGAGCGGCTTAATATACCTGCTGGGAAATCCGCTGGAGCTTAAATGACAATAATAATATTTATGTGCATATTAATGTAATTTAATGTATTTCAAACAGTTATTTCATTACCTGCATTAAAGTAATTGTCATTTTCTAAACGATCTTCACCGACTGGTTCTGCCGGTGGTATCCATTTCTTACCTCTTGTTGAGATGTAGACAATAGTCTCGTGATTTACAGGATCTTTACAAAAGTATACATATACATTGCTATAAACAAATGCAACCGAGCTTTTTTACTGTCTACTTACTAACCTATTTGATAGTTCTTAATTTCTTTTTGCCTATTATTTACATAAATGACGAAACGATCCGCATTGGTCTCATCATCCGCAAAGGGATCATCGAACTCGTTTTCCATTTTTATAAATATTTATTATGAAGGCTAAACCCAAATGAAATTGCAAATTGTAGGTAAATTCCGACGGATACGAATAATTCTTCTAATATCACTCTACAATCCAACGGTTTACATACGGTTTCCCGTTGTTGCTGTTTTAGTGACACACTTCCTTATGGAATTTTCTTTTCATTGTATTCGCCCTGTTTGTAAAGGCTGGATGTAGTGTTTCAAATTGGAGAGCATGTGATAGAAGCTCACTTGTAAAACTTGGGTAAAATAATTTGGAGTTTTCTATATAAATTGTGATATTTTATAAATCGTTTCAATCAGTTTGGGAAACGGGCAGTAAAGTTTGCTCCAGAGAGTGCATTTTTTCGTTGCTGGCTGATTTTTACTGATATTTCTCACTGTAGGGAAACTGCTCCTGGTGGAGGAGGGAGTTTCGAAATGTAGAAATTAAACAATAGTGGACACACCACCTGCGGAACCCCTTGTTTAGATTTCCTTCGCTTCGATGTTTCATCTCCAAATATTATCGATGATTGTCGACCACTCAGGTAGCCAATGTTCCACCCCTACAACACCGGTGGTATGAGGTTGCTTCAATGTCCGATAGCAGCACTGAATGATTGACGATGTCAAAACCACGCCAGTTCGCACTCAGGCTCGGTTTTGGTTAAGGCCATTGACTATCTAAGTGCTTATGGCGTTTAGTGCTGTTGTGGTACTGTGTACTCTCAAGACAGCCGTTTCTACGCACTGGAGTTGACTCGGATTTTATCCAGCGGAGGGCTGGCACCCGACCTGATCCTGTTTAGGTAACAACATTAATCGCTTAAACTTTCATACAGGTTGCTATTATCCTGTGTTTTAAAAGGAAAACGAAGTGAATTTTCACATCCCTACTTTTCATATCCGAGACCATACAATGGCGTTGGACTAATTTATAGTCTCCAAAATGGCATCACCTTCGTTTTTTTTTTTCCTTTTGAGCACGGTGATTATTGTCTGTTCCTATTTTCAATACTTTTGTTTTCCTTGTTTATCCGTGAATTTTATTGATACGAAATAAAAACAGTTGCCCTGGCAACAAATTTAAAAAAATTCTTCACTTTTTCACTTAAAAATGAGCCACGTTCAGGTCGGCCAAATGAAGTTGATGATGACCAAATCAAAGCATTAATCGAATTGGATCGTCATGTAACTGAGCGTGAGATAGGAGAGAAGTTAAATATACCAAAATCAACCGTTCATTATCACATAAAAAGTCTTGGACTGGTGAAAAAGCTTGATATTTGGGTACCACATGTATTGAAAGAAATTCATTTAACACACCGAATCAACGCTTGTCATATGCACCTTAAACGCAACGAATTCGATCCGTTTTTAAAACGAATCATAACTGGAGATGAAAAATGGATTGTTTACAACAACGTTAGTCGAAAACGATCATGGTCCAAGCATGGTGAACCAGCTCAAACCACTTCAAAGGCTGATATCCACCAAAAGAAGGTTATGCTGTCTGTTTGGTGGGATTGGAAGGGTGTCGTATATTTTGAGCTGCTTCCAAGGAACCAAACGATTAATTCGGATGTTTACTGTCAACAATTGGACAAATTGAATACAGCCATCAAGGAGAAGCGACCAGAATTGGTCAATCGTAAAGGTGTCATATTCCACCAGGACAACGCTAGACCGCACACATCTTTGGTCACTCGCCAAAAACTGAGTGAGCTTGGCTGGGAACTTTTGATGCATCCACCATATAGCCCTGACCTTGCACCATCAGACTACCATTTATTTCGATCTTTGCAGAACTCCTTAAATGGTAAAACTTTCGGCAATGATGAGGCTATAAAATCGCACTTGGTTCAGTTTTTTGCAGATAAAGGCCAGAAGTTCTATGAGCGTGGAATACTAAATTTGCCAGGAAGATGGCAAAAGGTTATCGAACAAAATGGCAATTATATATTTGATTAAAGTTCATTCTAAGTTTTATTAAAAATGCATTTACTTTCTTTTAAAAAATCCGCAATTACTTTTTGGGCAACCCAATATTTTGCTTTCCTTATTTATCCGTGAGTTTCATTGATACGAAATAAAAACAGTTTCAGTTCCGATTTCACGGTTAGCTAAACAGGTAAAAAATTTGTCGGAAGCAAGAAATTTTGAACCGTCATTGTTTTTAACATATCATAGCCCTGGCCCATTTTAAAAAAATCTTAACTAATCTCTCAAAAAAATTTTGAATTTAAACTACTATTTTGTAAAGAAATAATTAAAAAATAAAAGTTAATTTATTGTGTATGAATATATGTATGTAAATGAAATATGTAAATGAAATGTATATAAGTATGGAAGTAATGAGAACTATTTTATTGTCGATATATTAAGGAGCTGCAGATAGCAGGTCTTCATTCAGCTTTGTTAGTTTTGCGAAAAGCTTTTTATTAAAATTATTTCGAGTTTTGCTCAATTCCTTAAGTTCATCTGAAAACTCGCTCACGGAAAATTTAATGTCTTCTAGTTTTTTCTTTTGCATGGTGCACATCCTCAATGAACGCCTTTTAAAAACCATTCTTTCTAGAGGTGTGTCTTCACTATCTAAAAATGCAGATTAACTTTATTAAAAAAATATAAAAGTTTATACATATATGTATATATAGATTACACAGCACCTGACACTTCTGAATCCGATGAAATTGTCCAATAGGTAGTTTTTTGGTGTGACTTGCGCCCTTTCAAAAACATTGGTGGGGAATTTATATCTTCTAAGGGACGATAAAAATCAGTGTCATTACATACACGTACATACATCTTATTCGAGTTGTTTAAATTAAATATATGTTAGGATATTCGTTTTATAACCACGCACTGCCACATAATTTACATACCAGGCTCAGAGCAATAATTTGAATCTTCGATCTCCATTGGATGTTTGACAATATCAGGCTTCGAAGGTCTGCGTTTACCCAAATAGATGGCATATTGAGATGGGTCATCCACTAAAAATATATTAATTTAAGTTTATCAAAAAGATTGTATAGAAAAGAACGTGGAATTTATACTTACCATACCTGACACCCCTAATCGGTATACTTTCACCATTTAACTGGATGTCGTTATTGGACATTTTCGCTATTTAATGAAAAAAAACCTTAAGTAAACAAAATTACTTGAAATTAAAGGAGCAAACACAAAAAGAGCGAACAATAAAACGTTTATGTTAGGAAAGCTTTATTTATGAAAGCCAAATCTTTCAATACCCACCGTTAGCTTGCGGTTTCCTGTTGTTGCTGCTTTAAAAAAGTTTCATGCATATGTTTGACCCTGTTTTCTAGCAGGTGAAGAAGTTTACTAATGGTCATATTGGCTCAATTATGTCATGGGAATAACTTCTTGTTTCGGGAAGAAGACTTGGGATCGATTTATTCGAAAAATTTGTATTCATTGCTTGATTTAGATAAAAATGTTGTTGTTGTTGTTGTAATCGCTGAATTATTCCCCAAGGTACTTTTTGGGGAATGTTGCGGGAGTGACAGTTCTTGGCCGGATAAAAATCCGGGTCGTTCCGGTATAAAGACCCGACTGTCGCGGGAACTATTGGATTTTAGTCGCCTCTTATGACAGGCATGCCTTACCGCGGGTAAATTCTTGAGTCCCTAACCCGCAGGGGGTATTTCGTATAATTTGAATACTATACTTTATATATGAAACAAACAGAAATGAATCAACATTTAGATAAAATGTGACCCAACGGTTACCCTCCTCCCGCTTGATTATGTTATTAATTAAATTTAGGGAATGGCTTATAAAGAAAGATTAATATAGAATTTTTAGTTACGAAAAGTGAGTATGTCAAATCAAGTTTGCTTGAATAATAATTGAAATCTTGACATATAACGCGAAAGGGTTCAAAAGGAAAGGAAAAGGTTCGGATGGAGACATAAAACTTTACGTCACCTAAAAGAAATGAAATGTTTTACTAGAAAAATTCATGTTTAGCATTTCTCTTCAGCTAGAATGCGTAGGTAGATTTCTAAGTTAATTAGATTAACAAGGCTAGAATTCCAGTGGTTAATAGTTTTTCTTCCGAGAAAGGGCATTTATGGTTCGATTGACATGACTACAGAGAAAGCTTTTTGTCTAAATTAACGACAGGAACGATCTAACTGAAAGAATTTGAAATTTGGGACATAAAAAGGTATTTGTCAAGGGTAATTTGTGAAAATCTTTCCTTTCTTTTTAAGTTTCAACATAATAGTTTTTAGGTTATAATAAAAAAAACTGCGTATAAACCTAATATTATATAAATTTTATGAGTGTCATCTTAGAATTCCAAGCGAATTGATAAGTAACACTTTTCAAGTCAAGTGTAAGTTTCATAAGTCTGCTCTACTGGGCCATTAGGCCTACTGTGTTAAGTTAAAGTTAAATTAATTATTATTCCATTTGGTTTGTGCTTGGAGTTAAAAAAAGACTAACGCAGCTAATTAAAAATGCAAAGAAATATATATTTTATTTAATCAATGCTGCATAAATATACTATATATAAACACGTAACATAAGCGCGGCTACCAATTATAAGTCCAACCTTTTCTCTCCCAATACTGCAAATGTGCTCCTATTCCACCTCATCTGTTGAGTGATTAAGATTCCAAGGTTTCCAATTTTCTCATCAGCAATTTTTTTTAAATCTTCTAATTTATCCTCAACAACATGGCTTTCCATTAATATCATCTTATTGACTTTCCTCTTGAAATTTTCAGTTTCTTCACTTCCTGTTAAAATCAATGGTAGCAAATATTAGAAAGTGGAAAGCAAAATTAATAAAAGAAAGGGCACCTGATTCCTCTGAATCGGAGAAAAGCGTACACTCGGTGGTTATTGGATATACATTCGGTTTTCCTTTACGACGAAGTCGGACTCGACTTGTAGGCTCACGAAAAGTAATTTTTGCGGCTCCTTTCGATAGATCGGGTTCTGAGGAATCAATAAGAAATATATATATAAATATATGCATTTACATACATACATACATCATATATATGAAAGTATTGAATATGTAAAATTTAATCAAGAAATACATAGTACCTTCTCTAGAATCTGGAAATTTCCCAGGTTTAATTTTCGTAGGTTCTCCAACGTAGATTGCATATTGATGCATGTCAAACGCTAAACATAGATACATTAATACTATGTAAATATAGGCATATTTTTGTTGCACATGCATGTTTATACATATGTACATACATTTGTTTGTATATTTACTTACAACGTCTGATCTCCCTGATGGATTTCGAAGTGCCATTATACGTAATATACGTGGGCATCATTTTTGCAAATATGTATGTGTGTACAAAAGGCAAACAAAACAGAAATTTGGAAAAATATTACAAATCGATTAACATTTAATGTTGGAAAATTGAGGGAATGAACGAAACAGACTATTTATAACCGGTATCCTTCCAATTTAACGGTTTTTCTGCGGTTTACTGCTGTTGTTGTCAGAACCATAAACCTTTTGTGTACACGAAAATGTTAGGGATTTTCGTGCATACAGTTCACCCTGTTCGGAAACTGGTTTGGTATGGTATAGGGCACCTCTAAAGGTTAAATTAAAGGTATGCTGCGATACCATAAGACCCTGGCTTTAATATAGTCATAATTATATTTATTGCAGTCCTCATTCGAAAGTTGTAAACAAAGGTAATAATATGGGCAGCGATGAAGAGTAAGTGTATACAGTCTAACAGACGACGACGTGTCCATTCTCTTAATATTGACGAATTTCAATATGCATACCATCGGATAATATTCTTGAAAATAAGCTTAGTAGTAGTAGTAGTTGTTGTTGTTGTTGTTGGAGCGGTACGCAAACCCCGTTTAGAAGAAAGCTAAACCCGCCCAAGTTTCAACGGGTTCGAACCAAAAAGACAGGGGGGTTAGATGAGTTGGGCTTAGGAGGCATGCAAAGAGACAGTTAGTGTAGTGTGGGTACTCATTGCATGCATGATAAACGTTGGTTATGTCGGGGTTAAGTCTGTAGGTAGGTAGGAGTTTAATCTTCTAGGTGGTAGCTGGTAAACGTCTGTAGGGGAATTCCTTCCGGTAGCATCACAACAGGAATAGTTTACCCATCAAAACATTATGCTCCTTAACTCTTAGTATAGATGCTTCGCTGTGCAAGTGATGCTCTGGTGACATCAGGAGGCTCCTGAGCACGGGTTTCATTCATTTACGCCTCTCTAGTCTCCGGTGCTTACGAACGGCCAGTCCATTGCCTTTGAACATTTTGTTGCGGCTATAATGTTTTCAGGCAATTGAAGTTAAGTGCGCAGTGAGGGCGTGCAGGCTTTCAAATGCGACTCGACATAACTTGGGACTGTTTATAATCGTGTATCAGCCGATGCTCATTCGTGAATATTTGTTTCCAGCTCTTGCCCAACTGTTTTTTCTTCTCGGCCAAGCTACTTGGTTTATGGATATAACCTAGACGAATCAAATATTTCGGTTCGGCATTCCTTTTAAATGACTTTTGAAATGGCCGGTAATGTTCTTACAGGGTATGTAGATTTATCTTTAGGTTAACTACCAAGATTCGTAAACATAAATCAGCTGATCAAGCGCATAATCAAATTGTTAAGAAATAAGTTGAAAATAACGATTGGAGCTCGCCAATATGGATCAATTTGATAGCGAAAGCTATTGGAATCGTTCATCTAGCAGAGGATTTAGTTTTGATGATGATGAGGATGTGCTCGGTGCAGCTGCCAGCGGCAGCAATATGAACATAAGCAACATACTAAACGATTACGATACTATCTCCGAGGCGAGTTTCGACAACAGCGCAACTGGTAGTGCACTCAATTTATCTATTAAATCTATTATCTCTGAAGATGCTCTAAAGATGTTATTGCAAGAGCAAACGCTAGACGACCGCATAATGTCAAAGGGTGTTGCGCCTGAAGAAGAGCTACGACTGCTACGCAGACAAGTACAAACAACTTTTTATAATCCTTCGCCAGAGGTAACAGCACACAAGCTGCTGATTGGAAAATGTGCACCACTTGAAGTATTTAAATCTTTGCATGAAAAGGAGCAACTATTGGACGCTGTGCTTAAGTGTGGGGGTGGAGATGCTGTGATTGGTGTGCTACTCTTCCTCAAAAAGACTTTGAATCGCACAAATTTTCTAAAAATTCTCGAGCAAAAACCACAATCTCTACAACATTATGTTAGCTTTTTGCAAGAGCAACAAAACCCAGAAGTTATTGAAGTGCTGCAATATTTTGGCAAACATCAAGAGGCCGCGCTTTTGCAATTTAAGGCAGCCATGGCTTGTAAAGACTTGCAGCAACGTAAGCGAAAATTGCAGCAATTGATTGACCAATATGGCGGTGATATGGGTGTGGTGAGCGTATATTTGCAAAATTTTGAAGCAGCGCTTAAATTGTTAGAATTAGTAGAAAAAGAGTGTCACACACTTGACAATATGGTAAATATAAATTCAACACCCATTGAAGTGTTATATCAATGCTGTCGCAAACATAGCAACTGGAAAGATCAAGACATGACACGCGCCATATCACCATTTCGAGTCTGTGGTGAGCAACACATCTCTTTAGCACAATTCGAATGGACCGCCTTGAATGAGCGCACAACCGCACAAGCATATGCTGATTTGGAATGTGTATTTGAGCGAGTACCGGCTTGGTTACCCATGAAGCAGAAGCAATTCCATATTAGCTTCTCGCTAGAATTAGCAATATTACGTCTATATGCATTACAAGCACCCACCAGTGTGCTGTACATATTTCTCTCCAAGATGGGTAACACAACGGAAAAATTAGCGCTTGCAAAGCGTGTGAAATGTGTGCGTGCAGTTATTGATGCATTAGCTGGTCTCAAGGATGTGCAACAGCTGACTCAGTTAAAGGACACACTGCCGGAACGTTCAGAAGAGCAATTCTACTGTGAAAATGCACTGAAAGGACTGCAAACAAAGCGTTGGACTACAGATAATATTAAGTTGAAGCTTTAAGACGCTTGTGAACTGAAATTGCAAGAGTTAACCTTGAATTTATGTGAATGTTGCTATCATTTGGGTATTAAGCATGTAAAGAAGCGATGATTTTTTGTGAAGAAAAGTTTTGAAATTATTTGTAATAAAATTTAAATATTGAGAAAATTTTTTTGTTGTAAACTCAAACCCAAATAAAATTTACGATATTTATTTTCATATATTTATTTAGGAAAAAATGTTTCATATTTTTTGTATATGTATGTGTGTATGTATTTCAAGTGAGTCATTTTTATACAGGTTGCTAATTAGAAATTATTTGCATTTTTTCTGCACTGTGTCATTTTCAATTTATATGCATGTTATGTAAGGGAAGTGTTTTCAAAATCAAGCAAACAACGTACAAAAAATGTGTCTTTGTGTATGTGGGTATTTTTGTTTGATTTGGGGTATTTTGATGATTATTGTTGAGTTTTATACAATTCAGCATATTCTAATAATTATTTTTCTTTACTAATATATCGCGTTAGTAAAAAAGTTAAAGCAATGCCATTTATGCAAAAAAGAAATATATTTTTATGCAGCAAAAGCAATTATGTATATTTCCATTTACTTCTAATAACTAATTATTTACTTTTTATTTATTGCGAAGCGCAGCTAGACGAGGCTAGTGCAAATCGCCTCGGTAAGCGATCTCATAAGCCATACCCCATTTTAAATTTAAAGTTGCTATTTTTGTTGTTTTTTTCTAATGCTCTTTACTATTGTATTTAACTATATGCTTGTGAAAGTAATTTCATATTTATCTACGTGATGTTGTGCGATGAAATTTTCATTTCGATTAGTTGCATTAAATAATTTTGATACTTTAGTTGGTGTAGAATTTAGATTATGCCTTTTTAAACAAATTAAATAAAAACTATTTAGAAGGGAACTTAATTTTAGTATTAATTTATAACTCAACTTTGAATTTAGCTTGTATTCACAATCCCGCTGAAGAGGGCACCAATGAAAAAAGGCCTTTGCTATACATTATTTTTCTGATTTTTTCCAATTGAAATTCCCACGCAGACTACATACATTAGAGTACAGCTTATTATTGTTCATTTTCATTGCAGGTTTCCTATAAAAATCAAATAATAAGTAAAAGTAAGCTTCTATGCCTCAACTCCTCTAACTAACTGTAGGCGGAAAGTACGAAACTCCAAACGAAATTGTGTAGGAAGACCTATAATGTATGTATATATAATGAAACTAAAAACTAAAATTATTTAAAAATAAGAAACGACAACAACTCGATTAAACACATCAATAATATGCATATAATTTTATGAGGTATAAATGATAATATATGTATGTATGTATATGTATAGGTAGGTATATTACATTTTCTCGTTAAGGCAAATCAAAATATCAATATAGTATATATATATACACATACATATTTAAACTGTAAATTTAAATACAATACAATTAAAAAACGATTGACGAAGAATTAAAAAATAAAAAACAACTCATATCACGAATTAATAATAAATTAAAAACAAGTTATACTAATGGTGCTAAACACTAACAACTAATTGTTGCAGTGCTGCATCAGCCTCTGGCATATGATCGTTTTGAACTTAACACTTAGGCTATCGAATATCACATCCGTATCCTCCAATTTATGTTGCATCTGCTCATCTTCGTTTTGATTTTGATTTAACTGCTGCTGTGCCTCCTCCTGTGCGAAGTAGCTTTTGAATTTTTCATTTAAGCTACGTTCCAACATGCTGTTGTTGTTATTGAAAAACATAACGTACGACAATTCGAGTAGATAGTAGTTGAGATCGCCCATAAAGAAACGCTCGCATTCGAGCATATCGAATTTTTGCGCTATAAAATGTTTTAACAAATAATAAATTAAGTACTTCACATCCTGCCGGCGTAGTGGCACAAAACCCGTATCTTTGGAAAAGTATGCGAATATTTTCAATGCTTTCTGCGCGCTGTCGCAATTCGGTAAACACAATACGAATGCATCGACAAATTTGAAATTCAACATCAGCGTGCGTATACGATACTCCAGACGCTCCCTTGAGAAGTCGCACACTTTATCCGGATTGTAGAGACCGTGAAATACATATAGACAGTAGTGTATGTATTGACGCAATTGTTGCAGATTCATATCATCCTCTAACGTGTCATCACCATCGTTGGGCGCATTGGAAGTCAGCGTACTCTGAGAGCCGCCAGCCGTTTGTCCGGTGGGTGTTTGCTCATGATTGTTTACATTTTGTTTAGTTACCAGTGGACTTTGCTGGCCAGTTGGCGCACAACTGACGTCCGAATTGTCTGTTACGGGTAGACGCGCATAGCTATGATCATCTGGCGTAATATCATCCACAACAACGCTGTGTTGTGCATCATCCGATGCTGCGTTGCCGACAGCGGTGGCGGCATTTAGCACACCGCCCGCTTCCGAAGAAGGCAACAATGAGAAATTCAACGAGCAACCATCGTTCACTTCGTTGTTACTTAAATTCTCTAGGCTTGAGATCATCTCGTCCGAGTCCTGACCGGTAACCACATTTTCGCTACTATCCGCCTGCGTTGTGGACTTGTATTGGTTGGAAGGCGATGGACGTTCAAAGTTAGTGGCCGCATTATCAAAATTAATACCGGCCTCTTGCATGAATTGTATTTGATATTTTGGTATGCACTTCAAGTAGCGTACGGGGTCCGTTTCCAAACGTATGCGTGGGCGTGGTAAATTTATTTCAACTGGCACATCGACACACTGGCTCTCGAATCGCATGAGTCGCTTGGTTGCCGGTAAACACACAACGCGCTGTTTCATCTTATCGATTGATGGACCAAGATCACGACCGCACTGTGAAAGACGAAAAGTTGTTGTAGAAAGTTAAGAAGAAGAATACCACACAGCTTACTTGTCCATTAGCATTGCCACCAAATGCTTTGACCATATAGTCTGCATTCATGACGACTGTAAAATCTGCGCCGCAATCAACGTAAATAGGCCGATCAACACAATCCACAGGTGAGGGCTTGCTAACAGCGCGACGCTCCTTGTCGCCCGTACCTAGCTGGTGCTCCAAATTCTTACCCCATGTGTAGAGAGTGCAAGTAGAAGAGATCAAAGCAAAGTGGAAGAGTCCACTGGATATCTGTGAAATAGAAAAGTACCAAATCGAATAAGGACTGTAACAAAAAAAAAAAGAAAAAGCTGTAATTACCTGCATTATTTGCCCTGCAATTTCCGTTGTATCCACCAGATGTGGTGTCATATGTTCACAGGGATCAACCTCTGCATTAGTTACCGTCGCAGTTGCAGTTGCGGTAGCCGTCGCCGTCGCCGCTGATTGCTGCTGTGCTTCGACATTCTTTTTTGCAGCTGCAGTGGACTCTTGCACAGCTGCCGGTTTGAGCTTGAGTGGTTGTGTCATCATTGGCTTAACGTCTCCGACTAGTTCCTCCACCACATCATCCACCAATTGTATGGTAATTTCGGTGGCGGCTGTGGTTATCTCCTCAACAACCATTTCCTTCACATCAACCACCTTCATTTCATTACCATCCACTTCTGGTTCAGCAATAACGCTAGATGCTAAGACATCTACGAGTTCTAGTTCTTTGTGGGTATTTTCTTCGCTGACGCTTGTTTCTTTATCTGTTTGTTTGTGTGTTTCAAGAGTGCTTGGTAGCACGTTCTCGTTAATTGTATCCGTTAGAATGCTTTTGGCCACCTCAGCCGCAATAGATTTCGGTGCTTCCGCATAAGCACTTCTTGAAGCAGGGGACTCGCTTGGTATCGTTGTAGTGTCGCTGGCAAGTGTAGCTTCAAAACGCTTGCTCATTTCACGACGTTGATGTTCCTCCATTTTCAGCTTTGCATTTGCACGACGTTTTATCTGATTGGCCAAGCGCAGAGCTTGAGGTGAGGAGCCCCACGTGTACATGCAACCATTTTCATCGACAGCTAACTGCGGGTAAAATACGATTGAAGTGCGAAGTGCGATGGGTGACATTTAAAAAACCATAATGAACTTACGTTTGAAAAAAATTTGGTATGTATCAGTCTTATTCTTTCAGTGCAGACAAACAGTTTTATCGGCACCAAACTCTTCACTTGACTAGCACAATGCATTTCATCATCACTCGAAATATTGATGTGTCCTTCGCCGCTCGAGGAACCTGAACCAATGCCCAATTGGCCAAAATGATTTGAGCCAAACACAAATAATTCGGTGGCGTTCAGGTTATTCGCTGCCTGACAGAGCACCAAGCTGTGCGCATGACCCAAGGAAACTTGAAGAATTTTCTAAATGGAAAAAATAGTATTAATGCAATAAAATACAAAAAAAAAAAAACAAATTGTGTAAAATATTGAAATACTTACTTTTGTTTTGAAGAAAGCTATAACCTTAGGTTCGGCTACACTTTCACAATTGCCATGACCGAGCTGACCATAAATGCCCCAACTGGCGGGATAAAGAGAGTATACAAAATTTCAGTAAAATTTTTAATTTTTTTTCTTTCACCTACCCCCAGGTATACAACAGTCCATCGGCAACTGCGGCATTGTGATATTGACCTGCTTCAATGATCGTTATATTCTTGCCATCGAAAGCACGCACAAGCATTGGTTGCAAAGACACTTGCATATCACGTCCAATGCCTAATTGTAGTAGGTTATTATTGCCAAAAGCATATAACTGCAAAGAGAAAATTTAAATGAATTGAAAATCAAGCAATTCACAGTTGTGTAAGTGTGGAAAAAATACACATACCCCATTATTCGTAAGTACTAAGGTATGCTGACGCCCGCATTTCACGGTATGAACTTCCAAATTCAGTTGGGACAGTAAATCTAGACTTTTAACAGTATGCGCGGGCTCAGGAGGATCTAGAAGGTATAGGAAATTATTATATTTGAAAATTTGAACTAAACGAATTTTTTCGTGTTTACCGGAAGACTTGTTAACGCTATAATTACAAGGCACGCCATTAGAACCCCAAAAGTAGGCAACTCCATCCACAACACAAGCGCAGTGTGCACAACCAGCTGAGATAGGTTTAAAGCGTGATGTTTCAATGGCAAACTGTGCAGAGTACAAAGAAAGTTAAATAATGTAAATTAAAAAGGAAACCCAATTAAGCCGAAAGCAACCAGTTAGGCTTACACACCTGATTGTCTTCGTATGTAATACGGAATGTCGACAATGCGTTCGTTATATGCTCGCTTTTCGAACGTTGAGATTCCATATGTATGAGTACAGCCAAATATGTCTCGATGAGGTTTTTACAAAATTCAAATAAAAACGTTTTATTGTCATTTGTACTGATCTCTATGTGACCGGAGGAAGTGTGCGACACAATTGGACGTAGGACGGCGGAGAAGGGATTTAATTGATGTTCAAGGCGCTGTTGAATTAAAAAAAAAAAAAACAATATAATTAACGTACAATAAATAAATTCATTATTATTTTTTGTATTCTACCAACCTTAAGCACACAGTATCGCACATTTGGCAATTTCTCCTGTATGAAAGTGAAATAGTCAAAAGCGACTTGCGGCAAATACGTAATCGTCTCGGCAAACATTGGCTCACTCAAATTATACAAACACACATTCATCTCTGTATACCAGCCTAATGTAAAAAAGTTATTGTTCCTTTCTTGTAAACACTCTTTACGATATTTACCAAATTCCTGCCCAACAACGCTGGTCAACGCCAAAAAGGTGTCTATACAAACGCCACGGGTCTTCGCCAAAATCAATGCAGAGGAGAAGAGACCACTTTGACACAGCACAATGCTTGTCATATTTGTGTGATATTTTGTGTTGGTTACAAGAAAATTCCTGAGAAATTCCGAGAATTAGTTATAATAATCTTTACTAATTAAATCGATTGAAACAAAAATATATACACACCACAAAGGCAAATAATTTTTATCATTCACAGCGCGCTCCGCCAGGGTGATCAACAACAAATTGGCCAAATGGAATTGTGACGAGGGTGACATTTGCAAATTACTCAGCGAATCATCCACACCATAGGTATAATCACTGGCAGATACACCCTCATTTATGACCGTATTATGATTTGCATTGGGCATTAGTGGCAATATTGTGCGCACATCTTCCGAATGACGATATGTAATATCTTGAAGTAATGTTTTTATAATAGGGCTGCTAAAGTATTTCGATTTAAGTAGGTATGTTGTCTTCAGCGCCATTGCACACAGATGCATTAGAGCACATGTTTGACCGAACATGGCCAATTTGAGCGCAGTGCGTATTGGCTTGATGCGTGCCGTATTGTATGTGATCAAAGCTTGAGTGACCTTCTTGCGACGCAGCAAATAATCACCCGCAAACTCTATGCACTCCTCATAGGCGAGATCAAAAGTGTTGCAGAACTCGCGACATTGCGTCCATTCGCCAGCCAGCGCGGAGTCGAGGAAAATTGCAAATGGTTCTTTCCTGAGTATATTCACAATTGAATAGAGAAAATCAAATTCAAATAAACTATATAGAGTACTCACTTTAGTTGTATATAGTAGACATTTTTGTTGGTCACCACATAACAAGGATCGTAGTTGATTTTCGGGAATTCATGTTTCATAATTTCCATTTGCCGCAATGAATACTCCTCCTGTGCATCAACATTCTCATAAAACTGCACATAATCCATGGGTGAGCGTATATCTTTGTAATCGAATGCTTTAGCCTTTTCCTCCTTCGATATTATTTCACTGGGCTCGTTAGAACGATAAGTAGCCATTTGATAGAGATTGAGCACAGTTTCATTTTCGAAACGAAAAATGCTTAACTGCGATGAAGAGTCGAAGTGCTGGAGAGATAGAAGTTGCAAGAAAATCATTAAAAAAATTTTATATGTATATTTATCGATATGAAATTCTAATGATAATCGTATATATAATATAATATTTACTCACATCCTCTTCGCCCGTGCGCAATGAGGCCATAGCACTGCTGATCACACCCACAGCATTTATTGCATTGCATGCTGATAGACTATCGCTCGACGACGGCACACTTGTAGTCGCACTCGTATCCGCGCTGTATGAGCCTGCTGCATTTAAATCACCGCCGAGTAGCGTGTCATTGTCTTCACTGTAGTCGCTTACATTTGTCAACTTTTCAGCGTAATGCTCTTCCTTCTCAGCATCAGTGTCGCGATCTTCTTTCTCTGTATTCTTTTCAATATTTTGCAACTCAATGCATTCTTTTGATGTAACACCATTTAGATCAACATATTGTATGGTATAGAGCAAATTTGAGCTTATTAGAATATCAAAACAATTCTTTGGAATTTTATATAAAAATAACGGTTTCAAATTAATATCAATGCTATGCACAGTTAAACTGTTTGTATGGCTGTGCAGTGCGCTTAGCAAATAGGTGCTACGCAAGTTCTGTATGGTATAAAATGAGCCGCTGGTGTTGTTCAGCACCTCGGGTGTGAGTGATGGTGAGTCCATAATGGCGAAATTCCCAAGAGTATTTTCAGGCATGTCTGGAACGAAAAATTCCATTTTAGAAATGCATTAAGTCAAATAAGAACAACAACAGCAACAACTATTAACAATTTGTAACTTGTAAAGAAACATAACTGAGGGAGGGACATAATGAAACAAATGTTTGTTGGGTATGTACTGTAATATTTGTACGGAGAACGAAAAATCGTTGGTGAAATAAAGAGTACGCTCTAGGTGAGTAGTATTGAAGTTGTAATTTTGAATGTCTGATTTTACTAACTGTTCGGCGATTGAATTGATGATTGTAAGCATGACAACAACTCGTGTGTTGTGGCATTAAACGTTGGCTACACTCACCACGTTTCTCACGCAATCTATTTAATAAAATTACAATACATTTTATAACTGAGAAATCAATAAGAAAGGAAAAGGTTTTAAAAAGCAAATTATAGTTTTAGAAAATACAGTTGTTACAGAAGTAAATACGAAATAATTTTTCATTTCTAATTAATTTTATTTTTCTACTATATATTCTATATGATAATCATTTTGTGTGTGTATGTAAGTATGTTGAAATTTATACTTACAATCTTCCAGTTTTTGCCGATTATCGGAGAGACGCATTTTAATGGCATTTAGCTTTTTGGTGCCCAAGCTTTTCAAAGAGGCGAGACGAGCGCGCGCTGCCGGCAAAAGGCCAGCACGTGCATTCGCATCATCCAATTCAGGCAGCTGTTGTTGTGTGAAACGCACACCCGTTGACGAGCCAGTGTGGTTTACAGTAGCGGATGTGCTGCTGGTAATGGTACTTCCACTACTATTCGTTAACCCAGCACTATTGCCATTTAATGCGGCCGTGCTTGTTGTCGGTGCAGTGTCCAAGTGACGGTTTATAGCTACCGTGTAGGGAGGTGGCGGTGGCTGTGTGGCTGCTGTGCTACCTGCAGCCTTGGATATGGACGTGTGCGTACCTTGTAACAACATTGAACGTTTCAGTAAATGACTCGGCTGGGCTATATTACCAACGTTCGGAGCAGCCGTGGAGGTGCTGGGAAGCTCATCATTTCTTAGGAAAACATCTTCCTCCACCATACTGCTGTCAGACGCTGGATCCGAGCAGTTGCTTTGTGTTTTTAATGGCATAACAATTTGCCAATCACTATCACGACCATGTACAGCACCGGGTGAGATTTCGCCTGGATAGATGTACTTAATGGCTTTTTGTTCGAGTAGTAACTTGAATTGTTGCTTCAGCGATGATGTGATCTAGAGAGCCAAAGATGTTAACATTATTAAGAGAGTTTTTACAATGTATACCAATTACTTACCAACAACATTACACTATCGAAAGTGCTATCCTTACATATGATTAATTTCACCACCGAGCCTGTATCGATTGCTGTGCTTGCGACAAAAGGGCAATTAGGACTGAGACCCACGAAACAAACTGAACCATCGGAATAGCCGATAACAGCACGATTAACACCATCAAATGTTTGCCACCAAACCACCGCTAATGGGTATGGACAAGTAATGGAAGCCATAAAAGATGTAGCCATAACCTGTGCATTACCAGTCTTATCTTCAATGATATTAGGCGGTGATGTTGGCGCAAGCATACTGGCGGGCATATCATGACTATACGCATCTAGATTTACATTGACTGGTTGTTTCGGTTCGATATTGACCTCAACTTCTACAAGTAACTTTGATGCCTGTGCAACACTCTCCCGTGAGTTGGAGATATTTTCAGTTTCTTCAGCGTTTTCGATCTCATCTACGATCTTCTCTACCTCGGCGTCTTCATTACATACACCTTCTTCTTTTTCTTCGATAACAGCGCTGGGTATGAGTGGCGCTTGTTTTGATGCTGTCTCATTGTGAGTAGCCTGATTTGGACACTTTTTAGAGTTGGGACACTCGTGTGGACCGACAAATGGTATGATGTATGAGGTAATTTGTGTTGTGCAATATGGCTGTTGCGGCGGGTGTGTAGAATTCGATGGCTCCATAAATGTTTTGTCGACCACCGCAAGGGCGGGTACAATGTGCAGTGTATTGTCGAAACCTTAGTTAATAGAGAAGACAAAACATAAATTTTAATGATATTCAGCATAATAAGATTATATAAGAATAATAAGTTCAACGCATAACAGTGATTTGCAATCATATTTTCAAATAATCCAGCTATCTTACTAATATATACAAACACGTATGCACATATAAAAGTGCATGAGCGTATAAAAAGGAGCTTGTTATGCAGTTGGTTATCTCAATAAAAGCATATAACGAATGTATATATATGTAGGTATGTCATTGTATGCGCCAATATATATCTATATATATATTATATATATATATATATAATAATATGCGCTTTGTAACCGCTATATGTGCCTATATAGAGCCTTAAATATAAGTAATTAAATTCAAATATTTATGTGCATTCGATATAAACAGACCATCGTTATTTTTATATGGCTATATGTATATCTATTTATACATTTACAATCAACATTTCATTGATATGAAACTCGTGCTGGCTCAATTTACAGCGACATACTGTCTAGAGTGTAGCGTATATGACGTTGATAGCACACAAAGGCAACAGCAAAGAATGCGAAGAGGAACACGAGGTTTAGGTCTTTTGCATTTATCAAAGTATTTATACATCCTACACCCCACTTTTTCTTGCAACCCCGTTATTTGCGCACAGTTCAACGTACTCAAACACCTATGCGTAGATAGCACCACACTCGGTCGGCTGCCGCAAAAATCAATTGATAAACAAACGTAGAACTTAGGCAAAGCAAAAAAATTCAAATAATCAATAGAAAAATAAATGGGAAGAAGGTGGTTCTTTGCTGACAATGTCCAACATGAGAGGGAACGAGTGCACATATGCCGTTGGATCGTTTGATTTAAATCGCAGCACAGACTTAATTAAATATCTATCAAAAGCAAATCGGTTAGCACCCGTACTTGCGACAGATGGAGACGTCGTCTCTTAAGGAATTTCTGAATATGCAGTTTTTATTTACCCATACACAAACATATACACGTACATACAAGTGTAGGAACAAATATGTAGAAATTTCACTTTTAATTAGTTTGTCGCATCGAATCGATTTAACCATGCTCACTAGGATGTAGGGGCGCTATATAAACTCTTTTTGCTTTAATTTGTCATTTTTGGTTTGTTTTTCATACCTTATGCATATATACTTACATAGCACTAATAGCCAAGTACCGGAGGGATCAAAGCAGACGTCATGTATTACCCGATTGGTCCGTCGAAACCACGAAATCAATTTTAACACTTCCTGTCCACCTTCGCTTGTGTAGCGCAGCACAATATCATTTTCCTCTGAAACGAGGCATAATAACTGTTTGCGGGCATCGTATTCGCTAGCTGTAGATAATTTGCAATTTAAATTTGTAATAAGTGGACGCAGTTCAAAAATTTCCAAATTTTGTAGAAGAGCAGTCATTCTGATATTTTACTACGAAAAATGACGGTGGGCTCCCTTGTGACAGAGAAAATATTTTCAGTTACCCGTTGACGATTCTCTTTCTAAAATAAAAATCGTTTTTATTTCTTTGCTTTTGCACACAATGCTGAACGATTATATTAGTATATATATATGGCTGGCCGAAAAGTTTTTTGTGCTGCCCGTTCCTTCGCCGAAAAAAATATTTTCGCGTGCACCAACACCTTTCCGCCCTTTTTTTCTACTGACACCTTTTTTTCCGTAGTCCGCTGCTGCTGATATAAGCGATATTGGTGTCGGTGCTTTATGTGTTTTGTTGCTAATATTTATTTCTCTCTTATTTCCTTGCATTCAAATCACATTTTATTAACTTATTAACACTAATTTTCTAATATATTAAAAGTCTATTTGCACTAAATTTCAGAAAATTTCCGCTGCAGAATTCTTTACCAAATGCACTTATTCTGAAATGTCAACCTCCGTTTGGCGATATGAAAATTTCTTTCCTTTATTTTTTGCGAAACGTCAACAGCAAGAAAACAACAGAGAGCAAAAATTCCAATTGTGACAAGCTCTCAGCTGAAGAAGAGCTGCCATAGCATCTTTAAAAATTTGATTAAAAAATCTTACATTTTGAGGTGAAATTTTGCAGATGCAATAACCGTTTCCCTGATAATATCGTTAAGTTTTATGGAAAAGTAAGATTTAAATTTTATCGAGAAATCATACACGTAATATGAATCCAAAAGAAATCCTAATAAATCGACTCGACTGTAAGTACAGGCAAGAACCATTTATAAGTAAATAATAAACGGGGCTAATAACTATTAGTAACGCAATTTTTACAACTTACAATATTTTTTACAACTTTTTGTTTTATGCAAACTTTAAAAATTTTCTATATTAATCTTTGTTGCATAAAAGGAAAAATGGTTATTATAATTTATAACTGTATGTAGATATTTATGTGATAATTATTGTATTTAGCCAATGCACAAACCATTCGCTGTGTAAGAAACAGTGGTTGGTTGGTGAGGTGCACTTGATTTGGAAATAACTCTGACTTTCATCAAAGAAATTAAATAGCATTCAACTCGTCTAATTGCTCGCTATGATATTATCAACTAGATGCAATGAAAGGAATTCTGGCAATTTTGTCATACTTCGAATACAATATTGCATTTCCTGTCCAAAATTTCAGACTACCAGCAGTATCGGCGAAGGACTAGAAGTAAAGATTTGCGACCCGAAAGGCAACAAAGGCCACAGTATATGTACATACATATATATTCGTACATATGCATGCTTGTGTTTTGTTGTATTCTTAATCACGGGGAACCAAGATAGTAAGAAGGAAGCGATTCCCATTAGCCCTCTCATATAGGACCCAAAGAAGTGATCTAGCGACAGTGGCCCAGAGTATACTGAATATATCCAGCGCAGAGTTCTCCAGCTTTTTGTATGTAAAATGGCGAATCCGATTCTCCAACCGATTACGAATAAACAGACTTGACTATGAAGAAGTCAGCACAGTAATTCCTCGGCTGAAGAACAACAAGTAGGCGAGAGCTGGTGGTTTAGCGGTTGAGCTATACAATATTCATGCATCCGATCGACGAAGCCAACATCTGATGTTTTGGATTTTTTCGGGAGATAGATTTTGGTACGCGATATACGGCGACATTAACATAGTGCAGGGAATCCAGAGACAGCGGCTACTAGGCATGACTAGGAATGTTGTCCGAACACCTCACTTTACCAAGTATTCGATGGTGGAAGCACTTCGTTGGAACTACACTTCGTTGGAACGTATGGCGCGTTATCTTATATATCTTTATGGATATATTCACTTCTCACTTTGTTACCTTCTATTAGGCGTTAATTGTTAAGGAGTAAAGTAAATCAGCTAAAGAAGCACCTGAAAGAAAAGTACGACAACCAATAATGTTCATCTGCCACAAACGCCTTGACATACTAGTTACTTACAAATAAGTTTACGCTGTCGATACTAAACGCTTAACCATAAGTGAAAACTTAAGAAAAAACAACAACAACCACCAACAACAACAACCACCAACATTGAAAGCCATACACTTGCAATCGAAGTGAGTTCGTTGCGCCAGCGAATGTCTTGGATTCTTTAGCAACGCGGTTATTGTTGTCGTTTGTTGTTTTTGCTATTGTAGCACTACCAAAAATGGGATGAACTCAATTTGCTGTTATTACAAGAACTTTATGGGTTGCCCCTTTTAATGAGATTCATGAGATTTTGGCTATACGCACGTTTAAATGCTAACCACTATACAAGCATACACACAAACATACATACGGACAATGTTCTTTTTATGGTCGACTTGATGGAGCGCAATGTCCAGTTGGCTCAGAGCAAAAGAGAGAAAAAAAAACACAAAAATGTACAGATAAAATTTATATAAAAAGCTATAAAAATGAGGGAGGAGGATTTCCCTCGGTTAAAAAATGTGCAAAAAAATGGAGAGAAATAAGAGAAGAAAGAACATTTGGCTTTTGCCTGCAGTCGGTCGGCCAACCAGCCAACCTGCCAACCAGCCAGCCAGCCTCCTTGTTTGAGGGTACTTCATGGTTGCGTAGATTGAGCTGCTGGTTGTTGTTTTTATTGTGCTTGTTTGTGTGGTTCTCCTACGAAGTTATTTTTGCTGCGCTCCTTAAAGTACCAAATTCTTCACCTTTTGCGGTGTTCATATTATGAAATACGAATGAAATTGTTGTAAGTGTGTGTGTGTGTGTGCGCATATGTATGTGTAAGGGTGTGTGTGTGCTTAATGTAAAACAATAACAACCACAACGTAACCGACCACAAGAGCATATCAATCGTGGCAACAAACGACCATAGCAAATATGGCACAACAATAATAGCAATAGTGTAATAACATTAACAACACGTGAAATAACAACAACAACAACAACAAATTCCAATAAGCCATAGTAATACAGTGCATGTAAATACATACATATGTACATACATATGCACATGCATATATAACATTATAACAACGCCATCAACAGCAGTAAGCGTGCACTCGTAGGTACCACAAAATAAGTCCTGCGATAATCGTTGCTCGCGCGCACAGCTCGCTGCCTTCTGACAGGTAAACAATGCTGTGAATTTGATTAAAATCAACTGCGTGCAGCGCCGCCACCGCAACCCGGGCTATGGCTCGCTGACTTAGCTGCGTCGCTTGCTGGACAAATGCGCAAGCATATTATGTGGCCACATCGCTGCTTGCGGTTGTAGTTGTTATTGGTGTTCAAAATATGTTCATAAGCATAAACGCGTCTTTATATACAATATATAGATATGTATGTACATATATACATATGTATGTAGGTATGTATGGATTTCTCGCAAACATTTTTCGAGTATATTGGTCAAGAAACTAAATATTTATTATTAAGGGGATTAACAAAAGTTCGCCACTCGTCTTTGGGTGGCACAAATCTAAGGCAATTTACACCCCACCGGAACTTTCATCAGGAACCGCGTCGAGTTTTTTCTTCCTCGCTAGTGTGTGTGTATCAAAGATCATCAGAACGCTTACTCGAAAAGTCCTAGTGTCGGCTCATCGGATATCGTAATTGTCTACGCTTTTGTGCCACAATCTATGACGAGGTTGCTGAGTAATGACATTAGGTTTTTCGTGCTTGGTTCAATAACTGATCCATTTCATACCTTTTTTGTTCAGTCTAGAAAGATCAGCTAGGGGGTGTAATAACCTGTAGTCAAGCTTCTGGCTATGCTGTTACAGTTGCGAGGCTATACTTAATTCCTGCGCTTGCGTCCACGTCGTGCATCCTGAAAACGTGAGCAAACCTTGTACAAGATACGGTAACCAACCCGTGCGGAGTCTTGGGTCACGGCTAATAAGAGCGGTAGCTTCAGTGGAGCCAGTCCAACTTATTCGGTTTAAGGGTCTGCTGAAGTCTAATTGTAGCGTCTGTTCCCCAGAGGTGCGGCTGCGAGCGAGCGTCGGTCTTGATGCAAGCTGTTCGCTATATAAATGTTTAAAAATTTTAAACTTACTGTTCTGTTGACGACCCACGTAAACGCATGAAGGATCACGATTTCAGGACATGCACCTGGAATGTCTGGTCCCTTAAATAGGAAGGTGGCGCTGCCCGACTGATGTCCTCGTTAGAATAAAGACTGACATCACCGCCGTCCAAGAAGGGCGATGGACGGCCCGAAAGCGAGTAGATTCTTGTGACGCTTACTACAGCGGCCATAAAAAGGAGCGGGAATTTGGTGTTGAATTTTTGGGGAGAAAGAGATTCCGTCGTCGAGTATTGGCATTCGCTCCGGTGGATGGGGTTTCGCTGATTTGCGCCCCCGCCCCGACGGAAGAGAAAGACGATTTGGCTAAAGATGACTTTTATGAGCGCCTAGAGCATACTTACGAGCGCTGCTCCCAACACGATGTGAAAATCGTGCTTGGCGATTTTAATGAAAGGGTAGGCAAAGAAGGTATCTTTGGTACGACTTTTGGACAATTCAGCCGTCACAAGGAAACATCCCCTAATGGGTTGAGGTTGATCGAATTCGTCGAGCCCGAAATATGGTTGTATGTTGTACTAGATTCCAGCACAAAAAAATACATCAAGCTACTTGGCTGTCTACTGGTCGACAAACACAAAACCAGATCTATCATGTTGTGATATATGGAAGACTACAGTGTTCTTGCCGAGCGTACACTAAGATAACCCAACATCGACTCGGACCATTATTCTGTTAGCAGCGAAGATACGCATGCGCCTCTTCATTTCGTTGTTTGGCACCAATTGGAAATACCAAGTACAGCCAGGTCTTACTACACTTGGTCTTTCGAACGGAGTGGAGGTCTTCCATGTCCTTTGCCTCCACTGGCGGGTACTGGATCGAAAACTTTATGACCTAGATAGCATAGCCATTGAACTATGAAAATGTGACCGTACATCGATTGCGGTATTCGCTGTCCTCAACTCGTAGAGGACCATAAACCTTACACGAAACCACTGTCTTGTAAACTCCTAACGCCGGCTCATCATATCTTATTATCATCCATGCCTTCACGCCGTATAGCCGGATGGGAATGAGGAACGGTTGTAGAGTTTGGTCTGTCAACAGGATATTTCGTCTTACCCTCGCTTACTACCAGACCCATGTCCTTCACTTTCTTATCCAGTCTGGAGAAAACTGAACTCACAGCGGGTGTGTTGAGGCCAATGATGTCAATACATCGGCGTACGCCAGCAGCTCTTATAGAAGATTTTACTTTCTCTATTCAGCTCTGAAACTATTTTTTGTGCTGTTGAGGGCTGCTTGAAAATCGACGAAGATGTAGCGTGTTTGGATCCTCTTTTCATGGATCTGTTCAAAAATTTCTCCCATTTTGTGCATTGGATAGAGCACACATAGGTTCAGGTAAGCCTTCATTCAACTATATTTTCCAAAAAAAAAAACAGACGCATGCACCTTATTGAAAGTCCACCGGCCTTCGCCGCCTCAAGCTCGA